TCACTACCAAATGGATTGTTGCACTTAGATGTCAGTCAAGCAAACATTAACAAATGGATGGTTGCACTAAGATGCCAGTTAAGCAATCACCACCAACTGAATGGTCGCACTTAGATGTCAGTCAAGCAATCACTGCCAAATGGGTGGTTGCACTTAGATGACAGATAAGCAATCACTACCACATGGATGACTGCACTTAATAGTCGGTTCAGCAATCACTTCCAAAAGGATGGTTGCCTTTAGATGTCAGTTAAAGAATCATAAGCGGATCCAGGGGGGGGCCTGGGGGGCCGCCCCCCCCCCCCTTTCGTGGGAAAAATTTGGTTGATTATATAGGGAATCACTGAAGCATGACTGGAGCGCCCCCCCCCCCCCCCCCTTTTACTTTAGGTCAGTCAGCCCCTCCCCCCCCCCCCCTTATGAAAAGTTCTGGATCCGCCACATCCAAATAGATGATTGCACTAAGATGTCAGTTAAGCAATCAAATTTGGGGTTTATGTTAAGAAAGTTACAGATTAAAATGTTTCCTCAAATAGTCTAATGTCTCTTAAATCATTCTGTTGAACCTGTTATCACCCATTTTACGTATTTAGTTTTTAAAAAGCCAGTTTCAGTTTATTTTTATTTATTGTATGATTAGAATAGAGAATGGACACGAGGAATATCTACAAATAATACCGGTACTAATATATGTATTATAAGGCTCTAATCTTTAAGCTGATTTTAAGTTAGTTATCTTTGGGCGGACTAACGTCAAAGAATTCTGTCACATATCAAATAGACAACAGACCCAAATGACAAAAAAAAGCACAAAGAAAACAACAACAAACAAGCAATAAAGCATACAAATGAAGTACAATCGTTTTTACCTTTATATTCCTACTAAAAACAGCCGTGTTGTACTTACAAGATTATGTTTAGACGGCTATTCCGCTTACAAGGCTATGTACAAGCCGCTTCTCTCAATTCCATGATGTACTATCCTTGAACGGCTTTTCTACCATAACTAAAGACTATATGTACAAACGACTGTCCTCCTTGCCAGACTATGTTCTTTTCACCCTTACAAGACGTATGTTCAATCGGCATTTCCTCCTTACAAGACTTATGTTCAAACGGCATTTCCTCCTTACAAGACTATGTTCAAACGGATTTCCCCTTACAAGACTATGTGCAAACGGCATTTCCTCTTTACAAGATTATGTTCAAACGGCATTTCCTCTTTACAAGACTATGTTCAAACGGATTTCCTCCTTACAAGACTATGTTCAAACGGCATTTCCTCTTTACAAGACTATGTTCAAACGGCATTTCCCCCTTATTAGACTATGTTCAAACGGCATTTCCTCCTTACAAGACTATGTTCAAACGGATTTCCCCCTTACATGACTATGTTCAAACGGATTTCCCCCTTACAAGATTATGTTCAAACGGCATTTCCTCTTTACAAGACTATGTTCAAACGGCATTTCCTCTTTACAAGACTTTGTTCAAACGGATTTCCATCTTGGCAGACTATGCTAAAATGGCTTTTTCTCCTTACAAGATTATGTTCAAACGGATTTCCCCCTTACAAGACTATGTTCAAGCGGCATTTCCTCCTCACAAGACTATGTTCAAACGGCATTTCCTCCTCAAAAGACTATGTTCAAACGGATTTCCCCCTTACAAGACTATGTTCAAACGGCATTTCCTCTTTACAAGACTTTTTTAAAACGGATTTCCCCCTTACAAGACTATGTTCAAACGGCATTTCCTCTTTACAAGACTATGTTCAAACGGCATTTCCTCTTTAAAAGACTATGTTCAAACGGATTTCCCCCTTACAAGACTATGTTCAGTCGGCTTTCCCCCTTGTAAGGCTATGTTCAAACGGCATTTCCTCTTTACAAGACTATGTTCAAACGGACTTCCATCTTAGCAGACTATGTTCAAACGGATTTCCCCCTTACAAGACTATGTTCAAACGGATTTCCCCCTTACAAGACTATGTACAAATGGCATTTCCTCCTTACAAGACTATATTCAAACGGCATTTCCTCTTTACAAGACTATGTTCAAACGGATTTCCCCCTTACAAGACTATGTTCAAACGGATTTCCCCCTTACAAGACTATGTTCAGTCGGCTTTCCCCCTTGTAAGGATATGTTCAAACGGCTTTTTGTCCCTACTTAGACTCTTTTTTATTATGTGTTGTGAACATGCATGTATGTTTCCTCCTTACATGACTCAGTTCAAACAGATTTTTGTCTCCACGTAGATAGATTCTTATTTTTTTGTGGTGTGCACATGCATGTATGTCCCCCTTTACAATGCTATGTTTAAACGGATTTTTCCTCTTACAAGACTTTGTTAAAATGTATGTGCTTTTTTTCCTTGATCTACTAGTATTTGTTTCCCTATTAACCGGTTCTCGTTGAAATTCGTTCTCTACTCTTTCCTTTAACTTAATAGACTGACGCAAGAATTAATTTAGACACCGCTATGTTTCTCTTAACATTTTAGTTTCTTTCATTTTGCAATATACGCTAGCTGTTTCTCTCCTCCTCAATGTTTTGCAATGTTTTAGACAATTAATCGTGCCGAAATTGCATGAAATATTTACCACTGGACGTTAAGCAAACATCAATCATTTATATACACAATTCAGGATACGTGTGTAGGTTTGTGGTTATACAAATGCAAGGGTAAAATGCCTTCTTATTTCAAGTTAAAGTGAATCATTTCAGCGATCTACTAACGCATCAGCGTGTTCCCCTATGATCTATTTGATTTTCAGTAACTTCATCGGGTGACACCCAAGTTACCTGATATGGGGAAACGACATCTGTTTAACAATTTTGTAAAGTGCCCTTATACTTATTTGATATATTAATACAGCTTATAAGATTACAATCTTTTAATGCTTTCAATTGGATTTCATTTCTGACTATTGAAGTTTTAACTCATTAAATACATTAATTGAAATCGTATCTTTAAGTCATTGGGATCATTTTCCAAGCAAATTTTGCGAAAGACTGTACCAATTTTGTGTAATCGATTTGTCCTACATTTTACAACCCATATCTTTGAAACTTTACAGAAACATTGCACACATGTTGAAGTTGTGAATCTGCTATTATGGAATTGTTTGGGGAGATTTTTCCGAACTAGGCCATGGGATCTTAGTCATTTCATAATTATCATTACAGCATCGGCAGCTTTTAAGTTTGTTCATGCTAAAATAGATGACTCCCAAAATATCCTATTGTGAACTTTCCATTTTTTAGGTATCAACATTACACCGGCACCTGCACTGAAATTGAATATGGAGCATGAATGTATCTCTTAGTTGTCCGTTATGGATTATCTGTATCACAGATAACGACAGATATGTTCCAATTGTCGTAACCACAATCCCGTCTCCTTTTCCTCGAATGTGGCCAACCGAATTAGACTTATCACCAGGTTTGAATACATGAGCAACACGACGGCTGCCACGTGTGGGCGGCAGGATCTGCTTACCCTTCCGGAGCATTTGAGATCTCCCCTGGTTTTTGTTGGGTTCATGTTGCTCAGTCATTAGTTTTCTATGATGTGTTTTTGTACTGTTGCTTGTTTTTCCGTCGTTTTCGTTTTTTTTTTGCCATTGCATTGTCAGTTTGTTTTTGATTTATGAAATAGATGATCCCTTTGTTATTTTTTGCCTCTCTGATATAGCTGAGGTTGTAGTTTCTAGCATAAACCATGAAAGATTTATTTAAAGTCGGGTATGCATATAAAAATACAACATAAGCTTCGTAAAGCTTTAAAGGATTTCATTGCTAGACTGGCTAGGGTTGCTGCCTACACTGAGTGAAAGTTACTGAATAATGCACAAGTGTCCAGTAATCTATAACGGTAAAGACATGGGTAGCCGTTAGAAAGATTTACCGAGTTCACCATCACGACTTAGAACTTAGAAGCATGGCTGTGGACTGATGCCAGTCAACCCGGCATTGCTTGCAGTTTCGTTTTCTTTGATCATTTACAATCATAGTATTTGGACACAGTATCCCGAGTGTGATTACTTGACAACTTAATTACATAATAATAAGCCACGGTCCATTTGGTGAATTACGTGGAATGAAACCAGCAACATTGATTATTAAAAGAGCTGACAAACTTGTGTCATTTTTCAATAAGAAAGTAAGATCCTAGAGTTAAGTTGATTGGTGAGCTTTATGTCATCTTTTTTTCCGTTTGGTCATCTGTTTGTCTTTTAAGTCACCTGTTTATCTTTTAAGTCACCTGTTTCTCCTTTTAGTCATATGTTTATCCTTTTAGTCATCATTTTGTCCTATTGGTTTGCCTTTTAAAAGTTTTTGATTTCCCAATTTTTTTACCCGGAGCATTTAATACAAATGAACGAATGCAACAAGAAAGAAAACCCCTTTACAGCCTATACCTATACTCATTCTTTGGTTTTCTATGTTGTGTTTGGTGTACTGTTGTTTGTCTGTTTCCTTTTTAGCCACGGCGTTGTCAGTTTAAATTTCGACTTATGAGTTTGAATGTCCCTTTGGTATCTTTCGCTTCTCTTTAGTATTTGGTTGTAGTTATTGTTTTCTTTTAATTTCGATTAATAAATAATAATTGTGTCATCCAAAAGATTTGACGGAAAGAATATCCATAATATTTCAGATTTTGTGTGAAAGTCTGTTTCCAGCTATCTGCATTTTTTGCATGGCATTTAAACCAAATCAAGGATTACAAATCCTTGACCAAATCAGAGACATGTATTATATGTCTCTGACCGTGGCCAAATGTAAGGGAATTTTTTTGTATCAGAATTATTTTTAAAAACAGTGAAACGAATGGTTATGATCAGTATCAAACATAATCAAGTAAATCAAATTATGAATATTGAAATAATCTGGAAATAATCTGAATAATTAGTAAACTTGCGATATCGATATCGCTGTTAGCATATTATGGACCGTTGTAAGGTAACTTATTTCTTTGGTCATTAGTTGTATTCCTGACTTTCGGAAGGCCTCGTATGCGCACAGACAAACAGGAAATTTTTCGGCAAGGTAAATTTTGACAGTTCAGTGATACATGTAAGGATAAACGTGCACATTCCAGTCAAAATGTCAGTTTTGACATTGGAAGCTAAATTAGAACGAGTGGACCCTAACACACCATGGGGATTTCGTATGCAAGGAGGAAAGGATTTTCATAGTCCGTTGTCGATTCAGCGGGTAAGTTCAAGAGTTGAATCTGTCCATATTTGGATTTAAGACTTACAGTTTAGAAAACACGACCTCCTTATTTAAAAAAAAAAAAACAATAACATCCCTTTTTTAGTTAATTACATTGTAGAAGTAACATTATGGTTCAGACCCATAGAAAAATCCTGACTTAATCGTCAATTATGATCTCTATAAAATGGTCAGGTTTATGTCATTATGACTAATTTTTTGTAATTGATCAATATCGAGTAAGGTTCTATTGTTTTACTTTTATTTGAAATAAAATCAGCAAAGTTAGCAGCCGTTTGAAAGAGTTTATGGGCTTCTTTCACTGTAGGGTCACAAACCTTACAGTGCTAAATGTATATTAAACTAACCTTAACTCTTTCTACGTGTATGCCTAATGCTAGCCCTAACCCTTAAACCTAACCCTATAAAATTTTTAAAAAAAAACTAACCTAACCCTAACCTAAAAGTATAGGGATCCCTAAAGTAAAAGAAAGTTTATTGTATCTTGGGAAATGAAGCAGGAGAAGATTCCTTTTTCACTCCATTTTTATATAGATGTACACCTATTCTGTTAACAGAAATGGGTTTAAAGGAATTAAAGCCTTTCCAGAAACCAGACTGCCCCTGCCAAACCATGATCAACAAACCATCACATTTTCTGTTTACAAAGGGTGCTTAAACAGTGGCGGATCCAGAACTTTTCATAAGGGAGGGGGGGGGGCCCTGCATCAGTCATGCTTCAGCGATTCCCTATATAATCAACCAAATTTTTCCCACGGAAGGGGGGCCCGCCCCCTGGATCCGCCTATGTTAAATGATCTTAAATAGTAGAAGTGTTGATTGGCTTCTTAAACACTAAACCTTCAGCAGTTTCGAAAATCTTCTTTCAGTATTTTATGTAAAATTTAAAGGAGCATACGATTTCTAGCAAATCTGTATATATATCTGTTGTCATAAAATTTACTCAAATGATTTAGGCAACAGTTGAGCTGTACCAAAGATATTAAGCAATCAATTAGATATTTTTTCCAAAGACTAAGCTAGGATACTTGTCATCCAATAACCACAGGAAGTAGTAGTGGTTAATGTATGTAAAGTTTTCTTAATTCTGGTGAGAAATTAAAGGGATAAGTTTATACATGTAGGTGTTGATGATGTCAGTTAAATGGAAATAGATAAGCTACATTGTATTTAAAAAAAGGAACTGACATGTTCTTCTTCAGAAACTCCTGGTTGATGGAACTGTTTTCTCTCACTCCTCAAAAATTGTTCATTATGTCCACAGGTTGTTCTTAAGACAGTCAATTGTCAGTTTACTTATGTATATTATGAAAAAATATATATTACACTGTTATTAGCAGTCTCAAAGACGGATCTTGAAATTCTGTTGTTAAACATGCACAAATAAATGCATTATATTATAAAAAAAAATAAAAAAACACAACTTAAAACATTGAGATTTATTTTGATACAGTAGTCCTTGATGAACTAATTTGGAAATCTTAATAACAGCCTATTGTTTTTTTTTATTACATAAAAGATTAATTTGATTGAAGCAAGATGCATAATTAACTACCTTGGTCATATCATACATTCCATCTATAATTTTTATCTACATGAATAATAGAGATCCATTTGCATCTACATGTACTTGTTGCTTAACTTTGTTTGGGTATGTGTTAAGATCTTGTTACATGTGCATTAATTGATTTCCAAAATGTATGTTTGTTTTGATTACACTGTTTAAACTGATTGAACCTAAGTACTGGTCTATCAACCATTATCATATCATACAGTAATTTCTTTTTGAGACTAAATGCATCTGTAGTTAGTTCATATTATATAAAGTTACATATGAATGAGCTATGTGGATAATTAACCTGATTGTACCTAAATGCAGGGTTAGCAACCGTTACCCTTATATCACATTTTCATTTATAACATATGCTAAGACTTGTTGATTACTATAGGGAAGACTTGTCAATCATATAATTATAGCATGCATTTTTATTTTTCTATTCATAATCAGCTTGGGATGCATGGCAAAGTCAAAAGAAAACATTTTTGAATCCTGTTCACCTTGCATCAAATTTCAATCATTTATTTTGAATTAAAATCCATAGTGCGTTTAATACATGTATTTTGGATTTTGGTGATATTAATTAATAAAAGAAATAAAAGTGCAATAATGCCTAAAAAATAGTGTTGAAAATTATTACTAAAAAAGAAAGTGCAGAATGCAAGTTTGCAGTTTTTGCATTAATTAGAATTAAGCATTAAAATGACTTTATATGAATTTACTTCATGATAGAAAAATCAATGTTAATCCTCTTGCCACAGCAAAAAAATACTAAAACTTTTGTTATACATTGGTAAGAAAATTTGACTCTTAAACCTGTTGAAAGTAATACATATAATAATCTCTATTGAAACACATTAGAGATATTTTTTCATACATGTACCTTGGGCTTGGAAAACATGCATACAAGTAAAGTCTTTGACCAATGTTCAGTGTTTTGTTTTAGAATTTCAGCATGTTTAATATCTTTCAATTCATTATAAATATGTATACCTAGCTAAAAGAAATATACATTGTATATATAGCATAATAAGCATATCATTAGTTTGTAGACTAGAGTTGACTTTTCAGCCAGACAAGAACAGATGACATCATGGCAGAAAAAATGAAAAGTATTGCCTTTAAAATGCTGCACATTGTAATGAAAAATAAATGTATAATACTATATATCAATTTATAAATTCATAACAAAATGAATTTACACATTAAAAGCAGACAAGTTTAATTATATTCATACTTTGTGGTGTTAAAACTATCTTTTTATATTCAGAAATCCATAAAAATATGAGTTGTAAAAATAACTGTCTAGCTAGCATGGCTACAGATCCCTAACTTCATGAACTTGTTATTGTTAAAACAAAATATAAGACACTGTATAAAGTTTACTTGGCTAAACTATAATAAAAACATTAGATTTTCTCTATAGACCAGCTGTGTTGATTTTCCATGTTATTTTAAACAGTGTACAGTATAGACCTTTATTTCTTTCAACAGGTTAATGCTGGAAGCTTAGCCGCTAAATGTGGATTACAACAAGGGGACATAATTCTAAAAATAGGAAGTGTAGAAACTGAGGTACTCCGACACAAGGAGGCACAGGACAGTATACTCCATAGTGGAAATAAATTAGATTTATTATTGCAGAGGTAATTATCTTCAGAAACTAGAATTGATCAGGTCAAAATTCAGGTATAACTTTCCTTAATCATTGTTCATCCATTTTTGGCATCTTAAATAGTAAGACTGAAAACTTAAATTTATAGTCCTTTTGATTATTACAGCATGTGTGTTTACATTGTCATTTTACTTTTTTTATATATATATACAATGAAAATGTCATAAAGTCACTCAGACCATCAGAATTTACATTTTGCTATAAAATTTAGGTAAAAAATATATATGTGTAAACACCATGAACACAGGAAATGTTTATGAATCTTCTTCATGTCCTGTTGTTTGTGGTATATGCATGACTATGTTGACTGCACATGTGTACATGTATAACTATGTTGACTGCACATGTGTACATGTATATTTTGATACAACAGGAACGAGGATGTCCTGCATAAACATAAATTTGCTCCTAGCAGGAATAAATGTTATCATGATTCAATATACTTACCTTACAGAATTAGTCAGTTAAATAATAATATTTTGGAGTTACATAAGGTCAGTTTCCTGATCATTTTCCAGAGAGTAAACACTAGATACAAAAAAAAAACAAGGTGATTCAATTTAAAATGCTCAGCCTCTGATATTAAGTAAATCACTGTGAAACAGGGTGATTCCTGGTGAAATAAAGTGATAACTCTCTACTCACTACCCTGTTGTTTTATACCTAGAGAGATATTTTTGAAAGAATCACTCTCAATCACCAGCATTCTTTGCCATGTGAAAAATTATGAATGATTTTTGATGAAATTACGTTGTTTTGTATGGTATTGTTTATTTCAGACTACACCGTATTTCAGACATACTTAGACTATGACAGACTTGTATTTGTACTACAATACATGTACATAGGTCATTTAAGTTCTCGAATTACATGTGGTTAAACCACAAACATTTACTGAATAGGATTGAAACTATTAAAGGTTACAAAATTATACAAATAAATAAACAAGCAATATTAATTATGGAATCATATAAGGATTGAGTCAAGTTTTTAGTACAGATTACGCATAGATTTCTTGGAGACAAATAAGTTTAATCAAGTACATGTAAATTAATTGTTTCAAATTAAAACTTAAAATTTTACACAACTGAATAGGATAGGCATAAGGATAGGTAGATAAATGTCTAAAATCTTAAGCCTTTTTGTATTTTTTTTTTTTTGGTTGGGACGACTATTGATTTGAGTCTTAGAGGTATAGTGTACATGTTTAGGTAAGATAAATTCCAGTGATAAATTCCATTAATTGTGTGCAAAGTATTATTGCATCTCATTCAACAAAGTAAAGGGGACACATTTTATATATAAAATATGCACTGTTTTCTTTCTCTCTGCCTGACATTCCTCCTTTTCTGCTTTTTATCCTCATAGTCACTATATACATCTCCTAAGTCTTTAAATCATGCAAGTCATTGAACCCTTCTATTGTCTTGTGTAAATATTTGTTTGTGAAGGCCGTCTGAGGCCATATTATTTGGCACCAGGACCAATCTGACTGCCATTATATCAGAAAAGATATAGATGTGTGTTGTTGTTGTGTTTTGATTTAGGGAAGCAGGAGAGGTGAGGGGTCAGTCACCAGTTACTGCATATTTCAAATAATTCAGACATGACTCCCTAATACCAGACCAGAATCTTGAAACTGTCTTTCCTGCTCCTGCAAGTTGAGTCTTGCTAAACAGTTATGTTTAACAATGTAATGAACCTAATTGTAGCCAGAGAACAGATAATTAGACTTTTGGTTTGGCATTCCTTGGCACATGTTTCTGATAGTGGCAGAATATCTACATATTTTCTGTTATTTCTGATTGAGATCTATTTTCACACTTTCATAATCTTGCATAAACAATTTGATTACGTTGATGCTGTTAATCCCTTTGGACTTTTTGGCAGGAAAATACCTTAGTGAGAATTTAAATGCAGAAAACAATTTTACAGTACATGTATATTGTTAAAAATTATTAAACATTTGATTTTTACTAAATTTTCATATGTATCTGGCTTGGTAAATTAGCTATTTTCATGTTTGTGAGTAAATAATGTTGATTTTTAAGTCTGAATGAGAACATTAAATTCCGAAGATTAGCAAAATATGAAAACTTTTTTTTGGTGCCTAATTCTTAAGACCGCATATTGAGGCTTTCAGTGTGTCCTATTTTAAAAATGATGAAAGTCAACCTAAAAATCAAAATTCTTGTAAAAGTAGACAGTGTGTCATATCATAACTGCACTGATTGTGATGTCCATGATCAGATCCTTGAATTACAAGTTTTTATTACTTTTGTTTACTTGCAAATTAAATTCAGGCATATATACAAATCTTAAAAGTACAAGTTTAAGTGAAAAAAAAAGGCCAGGTTAAGCCCTTTTCACAACCTGTCCTTATATGTCCATAAATAAATTGGTAAAATTGAAAGTTAACATTTTTTATTGGAAGAAGGGTTTAAATTCAGAAACTGCAAAGGGGTCAATTAGAAATAAATGAAAAAAGTAGACAACCCCACCAAAATCTGAACTCATGTAATGTGAGCCAGCAATGCTTATTTTGGTGAATATTGTTTTTCTGAGAAACTAAGTAGGTAGAGAACAATTGGATCACTGGCATTACCTATTATTATGACACATTATATAAAACATGTATAAAATGCCTTATATATGCTTCACCTTTGCACTTATCTGCATTCCATATTTATAATTTCCTCAAGGTGAAAACAACATGTAATTTGTATTAATTATGGACAATAATTCAAACAAAATTTTACCTGATGGAATTCTTAGACAGTGAAATCTACAAATGTTGTTGAAATGTTTTGAGGCAAAATACCAGCTGGTGATAGTAGACATTTCAAATTTATTGTCAGACAAATGGTCAGAAAATTCAAAAAAATTGTTGGTCCAAAGGCTACACATTTATACATATTTAGTGGTGCTGTTGATTTTCAGATGCCAATTTTTGTTGATTGAGTAACTTCTTTATTTGTGAAATTTGTTGCTACATGATTTCAAAGTTTTACAAATTCTGCATACATTAAGCCTTTAAGAAATTTGTACTTCATTGAACAGTTAGATTTCTTAGTAAACTTTACCAATGAAGTCCACGAAAAATTAGAAACCAACAAATAATAATGAATTTACAGTAATTATAAGGCAATTTCTGTCAGACAAATGGTCATGTGGTCAGACAAAATTTGAGAACTATGAATTGCACTTTTCAGTTCTGGTTTTCTCTTTTCTTTCTCATGGTAATGTAAATATGAAAAGTGCCCCCAGTTATGCATTTTGTGTACATGTACTTATAATTACCATGTGTTTTTACATATGTATCCTGTTACTGTTATTGCAATGATCCTGTCTTTCCTAAGGGAAAAATCTAATTCTCATATGTATTATGTATTTGAATAGCTTTTAGCTTACTTTTCCCACACACTCTCAAGGACAAGGACTTTATTAGATTTTTTTTTTCTTCTGCTAATGCAATGTTTTTAAAGTAATAACAGTAAATAAGTGATTTTCATTTTTTAAAAGTAGCATATGTGCATTTTTTTTTTGCACACTCTGATAAGTTTCAATAAATAAATGATAAAATTAAATGTATTGAACAGAGTCAATGTTCTACTTAATCCATGTCTATGCATGTTTCATTGTACATTAAACAGACATCTTTTGATATAGAAAATAATAAGGTTTTTGTACAAACTCGTGAATCATCACAAATTAAAACTCCACCCTGGCTAAGATATTGTAAACTGTTAGTAGAAAGGTATTTGCGGGGTCACTGGGAAAGAAGAAAATCCATAAAAATGTATCATGATAAATGTTTTGTAAATGTAATTGACAATTTGGAGTTGTAAATCAATTCCTTATATAGTATTCAGGACCATTACAAATTGTCACTTTGTTGGGTGGTTCACCTTATATACAAAATGTACCTGCACTCTCAATATTCCTATAAATAGTCAGTGATCCTTCATCGCAACAATAGAATGACAGGATCTGACTTCAGTAATATTGCAACATATACTTCTGTATTATATGGTAATTAGCTGTTCATTGTACTGGATTCCTGTTAAATAATTGTACATGTACTGATGACTTATTTAGTCCCAGCACATGCAGTTCAATAAACGACAATATATGAGCTGTGTCGGAAAGAAATCGACCTTGTGCAAATGAATATCAATACATCTGTTAACTTATTTCGGGTTGAAAAATCTCTATGTAAAGACTGTAACTGTTTGAAAAATGAGTTGAAATAAGAACCCTACAAAACAGACCAAAAGTCAACTTTTTTTCTTATTTGAATGTTCCAAAATCAATCAAAGTCTTAAACATGTACATGTAAATATGCAGTTGCATAAGTTTGAATTTTATTCGACACAGCTTATATGTTGTATTCATGACCATCAAAATCCTTCTTAGAAAGGTTGGGGTTAGGTTTTTGTGTCTTTAACCTTTAAAGAATTTCGACCTGTATGTTGAGGTCTTTTTTCAGCATTTAAGACCTAAATGATTTCACAGCAAGAAATTCTTGTATTACAAGTACATTTACATGTGTATCAGAATTGAACACTTGACTTTGTGTACAGACATACCAGTTACCAAAATATGAACTTTAATACAACAAAAGATCTTGAATAACATGTCTAGCAGATATAAGAATTCCTCAGTCACAGCAGGGAAGTTTGATATAATTTAAAGTTCTTACAAAGTGCTTTTAAAATACACACTTAAATTAAACAAGCCAAACTATGATAACTCTAATCCTAAGCAACAAAGGTTATGATAAAAATTCTCATTTTGTGAACATTGAATAATGATTTGTGTACATACACAGGTCATGATTATGAGAAATAAATTATTTTGGTAAATCTCATGTTGAAAATAGTGAAATTTTGATTAAGGTTTGAGATCCAGAATTTGTTCTTGTGCAAATTTTTTAAGAACAGTCCAGCAAGGGTAATATTGTTTACTGTTAACAGAAATCCCACTAGGTAACTTCCTATGTACAAATGACTATCAATAGATCCTTTTTTTCAGATGGTAATCTGCTGTTCAGAGTTTATCTTTAAATTTTGTGTCAAATGAATTTTTGGTCAACTGATAAACAACTAAATAATCCAAATGTTTATATTTTAGGTTCTATACAATATACAAAATGTAGCTACATGTATAGGTTATTCTTGTATTTTTTCGTTATAAGTATGTATACATGTTCCAATGATGTGTAGACACAACACAATAACATCTGTACCTGAGTTTTTGTTAAAGTCCTCTAAGATCATTGTTATAGACATTTGATAAATTTTCAGTATGATACATTTCATTGTGTCATCTGTACTATTATTTGTCTGTTTGTCTTTTTATTTTTGGCCATGACGTTGTCAGTTTGTTTTCGATCTATGAGTTTGACTGTCCCTCCGGTATCTTTCTTCCCTCTTTCAAATGAAGTTAAGGGATAACTGTTTGTTTGATAATTCTGTCCGTCTTCATCTGTTGCACTCAAGATATTCTCTAACAGTTGCTATCAGTAACTTTGAGAATGTTAATAGATCTTATTTCTCATGTCATTTCTTTTAGTTTCATTCAAGTATCCATTTGTCATCTCAAGCATTAAAGATAAATCTCCTTATTAAAAAAAAAACAGTTGCGTAACAGAGTGTCTTCCAATTAACAACGACTATTGGTTAAATGATACTAAGTTCTTTCTTATTTTTTCATGAGGAGTTTGTAATTTTATATACTAATACATGTATGACAAACTACATTAGTATGAATTTTAAAGTGCCAATCTGTCTAAGAATCAGGCAGTGGTGAAAACATGACAAACAAAAACCCATCCAGCTTTACGTTAATTTAGGTTCAGAATGTATAATGGTGCATGAATATAACATTCGTTTCCTTTCCCTGTTCTGATAATTCAAGATATAATTTGGTTGAAATGCACTAGAAATTATACAATTAAGGGGAGATAACTCTGTAATTTGCTCTCATTCTAACCAAAATTTATCTAGATATTTCTTGAATTACCAGACACACAGAAACGAAAGACCTACCATTTCTAACTCAAGATGAGGGTACCTTCAAAATAGGGTGGTTAGGTCGGTGGGTTTTTTTCGGCCATGTTTAAATTTTTTTCTAAATTGCCTGATTCTTACAAAGACTGGCACTTAAATACTTTAATTTGTGAAAAGTGCTAATCGAGAAAAGATATGATTGGTGTTACCTTCGACAGAGTTGAATTAGTAGTATGATGCAAGTAAACTGGTGAATTAGAGCACTCATTGTAAAGGGTTGACTGATGTATGCTATGTTTCTATAAAAAGTCATCAAAGATTCCAGGCTTATTATTTAGTTCCCCAGACAAGCACATAAGACTCATTAGTGGCACTCAAATCAAAGCAGTAAGATTGCCAATTAATTACAAAGTTGAAGAACAAATAAACAATTTAAAACAGCTGTGCTAAATCTATTACTTTGGTATAAAAACTGAAATGTTTTAAATGATTTTAAAAAATTATGAACAGTAAATTTACAGAAAATTACGTCAGAAATCTGTAGTCAAGTGTTTCTCTCAACACAATTGTAATACATGCACAAGAATAGAAAAGACATTATTATCTGTTGCTTGTAAAGAACACAGAAGAATAGATATCATGATTACACTGCGAGTTTACAAGTTGCAAGAAAATTGCACAATTTGATATCCTTTTGGTGAGTAGGGGATCACTCCATAAAAAATGGATTAGGACAATGTCCTGAGCTTTAAATGAAATTCAGAAATAGCATGCAGAAGAGCTAGTTTAAAAATTATATGTGTCAATGTATTAGTATTAGAGGTGATGAAGTTATAAAGGGAGATAATTTGTAACAAGAGTGTTTTAGTCCAACCAGCATGATTGAAGGAATTGTTTAGGGCAATTTATTGTTCCAGTAACTATTAAGAATATTGCATGCGTCTTTCAAGAATGTAAGAAATTTAGAAATTTTATCATCTATTTATTATCTATTTTCAAGAATTCGAGATAAAAGAGGTATAAATAAATTGATCGGGTAAGTACATGAATGAAACGTGAATGGATATTTAGTAACTCATTTTGTTTAGAGACTAAGCCAAGTAATATTAAAGAGTAGGTTCTCTGAGAAAACACACCTGAAATTTCAAGTGGTCCTTGGTGTTTTGATAATCTACTCATTAAAATTATTCGGCCATAAGTCAGTATTGTTATAGTACGAAGTTTTACAGAATAACACTTTTGTTAAACTATGAACTTTTGTGGACAGTTTTAATGAAGGTTTAATTTTTATAATTAGCTGCCTGAATATTTTTGAAATAAAAATGGCATGTTCAACAATGTTAACACTTCATGTCATTTCCATGGAAACTTGACTGAAGTTTTCAGTGTAAACATTACAATTTTAGTATATTTGATTTGTACTATTTAAAGTATGATTTTTTTTTAAAGAGTTCAAATTATGCTTATTTAACAGTCCAGTTTTTTTGTTTTAAACATCTGTTTGTTAAGTAATATTATCTGTCCCTTTATCAGCATGAGACGACAGATTTACAACCATTAAACCATTAAAATTAACCATTTTACAATTGAGAGAAGATATGAAATTTTCACTCTGAAGGGTTTAGATTTAAGACTGAGTCTTGAAGCCACACAAAATTAATTATTTAGGAAAACAAACATACCTGTATGTGCAATTTTAGAAAAAAGGAATCCTTTTATAATTTTAAAACAAATAAGAAGAGAGTTTTTAAAACATGAATCACAATTCATATTTTAAAGATTTTGTTTTTTGCATGAAACAATACAATAAATTCAGCTTGGATAAGAAAACAATTCCCATCTCCATACTTTGCTTGCAAGGAAGAATATGACAATTTGCTCTTCATTCTAATTTCTGTTTTGATAATCAATTGACTGTTTGAAGGTGTGCATCATTATTGAAAATCACAGAAACCCCGAAAATTTCCTCAAAATTGAGCATTATTAGATCTTTGTAAGCAAGTGTGGACGCAGAACTATATTTCATTCAGATTGATATAAATGAAGTTAATTCTAATAAATTTTTAGTGCAAGGACCTATTTTTCAAAATTTGTAAAAATTGGGCAGATTTCTTGCAAGTTAATGATGAGATTTAGGAAAATTGATTTGATCTTTCCAAAATTTGTCATAAGGAAAAATAATAACAATAAAAAGTAATTTAATAAAGTTTCAAATTTATATTTTATATAGTGGTCACAAATTTTTGTTGTCAGTAAAATTTCAGCAATATTTTTTTTAAATTTCCAGAAGAATCCTTTTCATATTCCATAAGGAAAGCATGAACTAGTTTAAAGGTTTACTATAGAATGTTGTATGATTAAAAACATGCTTAGTAAAATAAGATGTAGCTGAAATTAAAAGCATGTTCAATGGAATTGTTGTTGTTGACAAAGAACTGATAAGATTTATATAGACTTTTCTGCATGCAGCAGAATCTAATTCAAAATTTTAGTGTTTTATTTCTAACAACGAATGTTGAAAGGGTATAATGATTTACCCTTGTCTTGCATATATGCACATGTAAATAATGATTTGATTACCGGTTATTATTGCATTTAGGGTACTTTTAACATAAAATATTGCCAAACATTAATAATGTTTAGCTGTCACAGTCTTAAATTATGTTAAAGTCTGTAAATAAAATTCAACAATTAGGCCACTGTAACCTACATTTCACACTTGAATGACTTTGGTTAATCTTAAGTTTAGGTCCATTCTCAAAGATCTACTGTATGATATCATTGATAATCTGCAGTCGTCTGTTTAATAAAATACAGCAACAATTCATCTCTTCATTTTTAAGGTCATATTAGTTAGGTCAGAACCTTATTCATGGCTAGATGTGTGGCCTGAGCCTAGAACAAGATATTTTGAGAAACTAAGGACAAAACACAACAAAAATTAAATAATCATTATGATACAGCTTATTCATTTTATTGACAAAATACTGAATTACTGTCAGATAACAGCGTACATTAATTCTGTAGTTGAAAGTTGAAAAGTAAAGAAATCAAGTGATTTGATGATTACAGAAGAACTTTATCAACCATTTTAGGGGCCTCAGTGGCTATGTGGTCTAAGTAGTGATCTACTGTATCGCTATAACCTGTCAACGCTGAGGTTGTGAGTTGGAACCCCACAGGTGGCAGGTGTGTTCAACTACAATCTTAATTGACTTATTTTTTCTGTCGAATGTCTGCAGTTCCCTCTTAACACTCTGGCTCTTCACCAGTAAAAGCTGACTGCCACCATATAGCCAATAGTGCTGAAAGTGGTGTTAAACATCAATCAATCAATCAATCAAAGTGCAGGAAGAACCACTAAGAATGGTACCAGCTATAACTTTAAATTGCTTAAATGGTACCTTGTACTTTTATTCTTCGTATATTCTTCTAAACTGACTGTCTTGTTTTGAAATTTTTAATTTAAGACAGAAGCGTACTCATCAGCATTATAGATGTTAAAGAATGATACAGTTATTATCGAGTCACAGACCTGTAAAAGTACCAGAAATAACATATTGTCTTGGCAGTCAGACAAACATTTTATCTAAATAGATACACATGTTATTGTGTAAAGAAGTGGGAGGACTGTTATTGATAATCTATTTGTTCTTGTGATGTTTGTCAGATTTGCCAGAACCGCTTATTGTAGAAAATGATCAACTGGTTGTTTAGTCACAACAGAAGGCAAAATACTGGCTAATACTATTTTGAACAGTTACTTAAATTGAGGACATTTTTCATGCATATAAAACATAATTTGATATAAGATATAAGTCACACATGAAGCATATTTGTTAACATTAATAGTGTCCAGTTTTAAGTTTGTGTATGCCCTTGCAGAAAATTAAACGCAGGCCAATATTTATTTTCGCACAACAGAAAACAATTGACTTTGCATACCAAAGTTGATGTTGCTTTATAAATTTTATTAGCGGCTAGGACAAAATTCAGGCAAGTCATAATTAAATCATAGAATGTATGATAAAATGGGTACACATATTACACAATACTTCACCAAAATTAGAATGATTTCAAACCTTTTTATTGGATTATTAGGCAAAACAAAAATAGATTTGAGTGTCCTGTTTCTCTAGCTATACCAAATTTGTATGCCTACCCTAACACATTTTTGCCTTTAAGCACTGTTGGTCCATAACATTAACCTATACACTGTAAATCCAGAAACTTTTGTGTGCATTTATTATTGCAATTGTTTAGTAATGAACACAAATGTAAGAATTATAGTTACCATTGCAGGAACTGGTGCATACAAAATGAAATAATGCTATCAAAATTTAAATTGGAGTTTTTACTTTTGTGACACATATCTTGTTGCAATATTTAATTTGCAATTATAATTTGATTGCAAAAAATTTCTGAATTTACAGAAGTCTTTATCAAAATTATGTGAAATTTTTAGAAATATTATATAAAATCTGTTTACATACTGGAAGCTACATCTGATTGTACCTACCCTATTAAGTATTTTATCTGTAAGGGGAGACAAGAAACAAGTATATTCTTGTGTACAATTTGGAGTTTAGTATGGCGTTCATTATCACTGAACTAGTATATATATTTGTTTAGGGGCCAGCTGAAGGACGCCTCCGGGTGCGGGAATTTCTCGCTGCATTGAAGACCTGTTGGTGGCCTTCTGCTGTTGTCTGTTCTGTGGTCGGGTTGTTGTCTCTTTGACACATTCCCCATTTCCATTCTCAATTTTATATATTTGTTTGGCCTTCTAAACTTTTTCTTCTGTTCTCCAGGTGTGAAGCTACCTTATAATTACCTTCATTAAAGGTAAATGACTTATTTCTAACATTCATTGTTATTGTTTATTACGTAGATGTTAGATAAAAAGCCATAAATTACAATTGTCTGTGGTTAAACCAACCATTAAAATTACTGGACTGGCAAATCATGATTCATAACTTTTCTGACTTTTTGGTCTGTATTTTTAAAATTTTAAATGATTGTTCATTAAAAGTTTTTGTGTTCAGGCAGAAGAGAGGTATTACTCCAAAAGACACTTAATTAATAGGCACCTCATTAATCCATTTTGCTTCTATAGTCTGAAAGCAAATTTTGTCCAAGGGCTTAGTATAACAAAAAAAAATTGCCTAGGAACTTGTACTATGACTATGATTTAGGTTAGATGGTGTCAGGTACAAGGGGAACACTATAGCGGTACACATTTATAATAATTAAATAAAAAACAGAAGACCAAACCAACTTTAATTGTATGGGTTTAAAAAATAAGACCCCCCCCCCCCTGTTCAGAAATTGGATATGTAATATTCCATATCCAAATAAATTCCTGGTAAAAATAACTTTAGATACCAAAAGATATTTTTAACATTTAAGGAATGGACTGGTCCCCTGACTAAAATCATACATTCATGCAACTCTGCAGTCAGCTCAATCTTATTTTTATCCACAGCTATTTATATTTTATTGTTCAGTATTAGAATCTCAATATTGCAACTGAACATTTCAGTTTCTAATAAAATTAACTTCAGCTAAAACGAGTATGTCTTTTTTTTTGTAATACATGAATTACATTAAGGGCTGTAGAGTATTATTATAGGAGTTGTAGGCTTACATTTACCTCTGTTTGCTTCATATAAGCAGTAATTCTCAGATTAACTTTCGAGGTTCTGGCAGCTAAGTTTAAAAATTAAACTGATTTAATCAGGTGGAAATATTGAGAGGGTGTGATTGTAAGACAATGAATATGAAAGAAAAAAATATCTGACTTTTGGCAAGTTGTCGATTGTTACCTTGGATATATTGAAGTGTGTCGAAACATAAATAATCAAGGTGTATATCCTCCCTTAAACTTCTATGCTGATCTATTATCTAAATGACTCCCCAGAACGTAATCTACTATAAACTATATGAAAGATTTCAACATATTCTATTTGATAAAATCATTGTTTTAATGAATTATCTTAAAAGATACTTACAATGTTGTATTTATAACGAGTCATGCTATTTTCTACAAATCAGTATTTTGCTGATGAGTTTTTGCCTCCTACATTAAATGTAACTTCTTGTATGAAAAGCTCTTTATCTGCAAAATATTTTCTGATGACGTCTGTTTTCATTCCTGTATCAGTTATATTTGTTTCTCAGGTAAAAACAAAGTTCATCTTCAGCATTAATTTGTTGAGCATCAAAAATAGTTGCATAGATACTGTCAGTTTTTCTGATGTAAGAACTTAATCATTTTTTCTTATTTCAGCATTATTTAAGAATTTAAGTGACAAGATATATAAGTAAGCACTCAGTCTCAGTTTGAGGAAACTTTCTAGTAGAGTTAGCTCTTCCAGTTTCTGGACAAAAAAAGATTTGAAAATTCTTGTGTCATGTCCAAAAATAGTAATGTTCACTTCTAGACTTCAAGGCTGTCATATTTGTGTTTTCCATTAACTTCTCTGGTTATCCAGGGTTTTCAATTATTTTCACTGAACATTCAATTAATCCATATTCTTTCTACAAATGTCTGAAAAGTAGATAAGTTGCTGACAGTTCCTGCCAATTATGCATCAAATTCAGTGATCATCATTCCGAGGTACTTATAACTAAACACTTAATAAAATGTACATGTGACATTGATATTTTACAGAAGAAACCTAGACCAGTATGTAGATACAAAGTAAGTGTAGAACATCATGTGGTTTCTGGGAACATATCATTGCAGCGCTTCTTCTCGTGGTGAAAAGTCATTTGCTGCCAAATTTTTGTAATCATATCGTGGTACACTACAGCTGAAGTGAATTATGCCATTTCCACCTGTCCATTCAGTTGTAAACCAGCTCTTATACCCAAATCGAAATTTTTAAGAAAGGGCGCACATTTTCTTTGTGGTTTAGGGCGTATTAACAACAAATACAAACTCTAATAAGAAAGGTTTAAGTAAAAAATAAAAATCTGACCTAAAAAGTATTAGATGGTTTTCAAAGGGAAGTATGATAGCACCCTCACACCCGCTCTGTGTACAGTCATGCAGGTTATTCTTAGATTATGTCAAAATATTTAATTCTCAAGCTTTCTCATTTTCCCAAGATATTTTGTATGTTCAAATTCAATACTCTTTTTGTTAAAGAAATGAAATGGAATATCCACTCTATAGGGTAGGTACATGGGGACCATTAAGATGTTTTGCCCACTCTGAGCCCAGGCTTTACAGCTTTCCAGTCATAAACATTTTGAGTATGATCATTGTACACCGGCTCAGAAATCAACCAGTTAAAATGCTCGATTTGCTGTTTCAAGCACAAATTTTGTACTTCGAGTACTTAGTAAAGTTTTATGACCAGAAGGCCAGATCCATAGTGGATGGGTGGAAATGTCATAATTTGTCCAAGTTGTAGTGTATTTGTCTTTTGTCTTTATATCAATCATAAGACCTCTACTAATAGTTGTAACAGATAGGTACACACATTTTATGATAACTCCATAGATGTACATGTCATTGTTATAGTTAAGGTGTCTATGTTTTTCATCATAACTGTTTTTCTAGTTGACAAAGTCTTTTAGCACAAAATGAAGGTTTGGTTAAATTTTGTAGTTTCTTGCACTATCAACATCTAAGAGAAAAAGGGTAAAACAAATTTTGTATCGATATAAAGTCTTTCTCTTGTCTCCAGATTTAGATGTCTTATACAATTCCTTGCCATTATATTATACCAACTTATATATTCAAATTTTTGATAGAGCCATTACAGTTAATGATCTCAAAGCCCTTAAGAAAATCCTGGTTTATGTATAATGAAGCTCTCAGTATTTTAATATTTTCAAGTGCAAAGGACCAAATAATCCAAAATATCTTATTTTGTTGGTTTGTGGACTAAGAGAAACTGTTGTTTACTTGTATAGGCCTTTCTTTGACATTAAATTCTGTACTTAAATTTGCTATATGAAGTTAGAGTTAGAATTGCCTGAAGTGCCATGTTTTATTCCAAAATGTAAAACCAATAATCAAATTTTAAGAGAGCCTTTCATTAGCATACAGTTATACCATTCTATGTCAAGGTCAAGTGCAAGGGTCTCTTTAGTAAGCAGAAAGGGATTCCAAAACTTACAAAATTCTTATATTCAAAGTTGCCTTAGTGGTCAACTCAATCGAAAAGTCAGTTTTTGACCCGTGGCCATCTACAATTTATTATTTTTAAGTTAAAGGTCACCCCTCTTATACATTGAGTGTTTATTTATCCTCAAGGTAAAACCTTTATAAACAAAAACATTTATCTTTTCTATTCTAGTATAACCAAGCATTCAAATATCAGTAATGCACAATTTCATATCTTATTGTTTTACAATTGATTAAAGTAGAACTGTATTAGCAGAATCAAATTCTAACAATTTATATGTATTTTATCAGTTAAGTGTTTTTTGCCCCATTGGCAGTTTTCTTGTTACTTGTTGCTCTTAGAGAGAACTGGAGATGTTCCAAGAATTTGGCAGTGATGGGTTTTATTCTGCTGAGGAGAATAACAGCTGATCACAATTGATGAAACTTACAATAAATAATTGTAGTGTTAATTTCATATTTAGAACATTAATGTGACAGATTAACACAATTATACAAATTAAACAGTTTCTATAGGTGTTGGTCAATTATAAAAATCTCATTTCTATATCTATCTTTATATATATACTTATCCATTTCCTTTCATTAAACCAATTATCACAGTGGTAAAAATTCTGTAATAAAAAGCCTCACTATTTACTGTTTTGAGATATTAATTAATGCACAGTAGAAACAAATTATTCTTGTATTTACAATGGTTGATTATGTTAAGGTATTACAGAACTTTTTAAAACAATTGTTAGCTCTTAAAATGGGCCAAGTGTGACAAGTTGATTCTGGCAACTTTACCTATATTGTTCATAGTTTCTGTAATAGCAATTTTGATTTAAACAGCTAATCATTTTTATGCCCCCACCGTAGCGGAGGGGGCAGTAAGTTTTACCCTTGTCTGTCCGTCCCTACGTAAGTACGTCCCAAAGTTGGTTTCCGTTCTCTAACTTTAGTTTGCCTCAACCAAATGTTTTGAAACTTATACAAAATGCTTATTACCACAAAACACAGATCAAGTTTGAATTTTGGTGGCATCACTTTAACCATTCTAGATATATTCCCCTTTACAAATGGAAAAATTGCTGAATTTTTCGTTTCCATTCTCTAACTTTAGTTTGCCTCAACCAAATGTTATGAAACTTATACACAATGTTTATAACCACAAAATACAGATCAAGTTTGAATTTTGGTGGTGTCACTTTTACTGTTCTAGAGTTTAATGTCCATTTATAAATGGAAAAATTGCTGAATTTTTCGTTTCCGTTCTCTATTACTTAAGTTTGCCTCTACCAAATGTTATGAAACTTGTACACAATACTTATTACCACAAAACTCAGTTCAATTACAAATTTGGGTAGCATCACTTTTACCGTTCTTCAGATATGTCCTTTTATAACTTTATATGATATGCAAGTGGGGGCATCATCTGTGTCCCATGGACACATTCCCCATTTATTTTAATCAGCTTTTGCAGCAATCAAATGACTGACAACTTACTAAAGTTGGTTAATTTACAAATGATTTTTGCATTTAATAACTCCCTTACTAGCTGATCAGAGGAGGGCTGAATTTGGTATAGCAGAGGTCTTTGATGACATCTTAGATTTCTCAAAAAAATTAAAGTTTTCTGCACTTACAAAAAGTGGGCAGCAAATTTGTGAGATATCATTTTAAAAATTAGTTTTTTGGGCAAATAATGTGCCAAATAATGTGTCAAAAGGGTGAGGAACTACTCCATTTTGAAAATCATGTTTGAGGTTTTAGTTTGGCAAGTAATAGAGTATTGCTGCAGTGTGGTTTAATTTGATTTGAAAAGTTTTACTGATTTTTGATTGATGATAATTTGTTAAACTTCTCCCTTAACTGATAATATGATATTGAATTATGTCAGTTTAACCTAATCAAATAACATGCACCTAACAATCATGATCTAACTGAAATTGGAATAACTGGAAAAGATGTTCTTATACCTAAGAAATTTACAAAGAATCTTAAGTCATTTTATACAGTTTTAGATTTAAGTTAAAATGTTAAGACTAATTTCAACATGTATTGTCCATTGAAATTTGCATACCGAATGTTTTCTTGTCTTTGTTAGCTAAAGGTTCAAAGAGCATGAAAAGGGGAGGGAAACTAGTTGTATGCATGCAGAATGTACAACTAGGTGGTAAATGTTAGACATTCTCTAGGGAACCTGTGTATACATATATGCCATAGAAATTATGGAATCTTGTGTTGATGACGTAACATTAAGAGTTTATTAAGAGATTGTTAGAAGATAAATGTCAGTTTTATTGGTTTAATTTTAGCCTATTTGTCTTTGTATGCAGAATAAAGTGTTTAACAACTTCTCCCACTGCAGTTCAGATTAAAACATGTTTATAGAGTGAATCATGCTGATGATGCACTTTAGATAAAACAAATTTCATTGTGAATTTGTGTTATATGATGATTAATATTGAAGTTAAAACACTTTTATTTTGAGAGGAAACTGCCAGTATTATAACAATGTCCAAAATCAGTAGTTAGGGTTTGTAAAAATAAGGAGATGTGGTATGATTGCCAATAAGACACCTGTCCATTAAAGACTAAAATACAAATATGTGAAAAATTACTGGTGAACAAGGAGCAAACACAAACTGTATAGTAAACTAAAAAAACGCCAAACAACTCATATCAGAAGTTTGCTGTCATTGAATATCAGCCACCCCATGCTTATGAAAATTTGCTAGAGAGAGCTGTTTTTGTTTAAAACATAAGATTTCTCATTTATTTCCTGACCATGAAATTTTAAAGTGAATTAGATAGTTTTTTGGTGTTCATTTGAACAGAAGATTATAGCTCAAAAATCACAACACTGTACACCCCAGTCACTCAAGTTCTATCTAAACTGCTATTTCACCTCTCCTTAAATTATGGCCTTTAAGACATTTAAAAATGTATGTTGATATAATGTAAATCATAAATTTTCCTTATTTGCACTAAGATTATAAGTAAATAATCACATAAGGTTAAGGATAAACTTAGTAAGTAACTTCTGGTTTACAAAGAAATTTGGCTACCTCTTGAAAGATCAGTATTTATTTGGTGTAACATGGTTATTTAAGGTATTAAGATACTTTAATAACGATCAGGTGTTAAAACTGTTATTACACCTACCGTTTTATTACACTAGTTGTTGTTGACCATTAAAGGGACGTAAATAATAGGTCAGGTGCTGACCAACTGTAATTATTTCTTAAGTAAAATACTCAAGAGTTATATTTTTGTTGCCCTATATTGGCAAGTTTAAGTAATAGCTAGCTTGAAATTTGAAAGTCCCTTTTTAGCTTACTTGACAAAAGGGAAACTAGGTAGTATGCATGTGCTTTGTACTGGAATGGATAAAGTGTTTCAGTGTAGTATTTGTAGATATTAGAGAAAGGGAGTTAGTAAATGCTTCTCTCTAAGTTTATTTGTAAGTCAGAGGAGCTCAGGGTTTACTGAAAACAAAACTTTAGAAACATTCTTTATACTTCTTTAATAACCATATATTGATGATAAGATCAGTTTCTGCAGACAATTGTTATATATGTTGTAGGTCTATGTGTTAATTGTAAGATTGATACTGATCTGACATTTTGTTTGACCTTGACCTTGACCTCATATCAATATTAATTTGTACATATTTGTCAGTATACATATATATGTTATAGGTCTATTTATTTTAATATGATCCAAAGATGGATGTTGATCTGACATCTTTTCTTTGACCTTGACCTTATATCAAAATATTAATATGTGGACATTAATATAAAAATAAGGAGATGTGGTATGATTGCCAATGAGACAACTATCCACCAAAGTTCAAATGAAGTGGATGTAAGCAATTGTAGGTAACCATACAATTGTAGGCACTGTGATTGTAGGCAACGATACGGCCTTCAACAATGAGAAAAACTTTAAAAAGACTGTTCACATGTAAAATATTTCTATGCCTCTACACTTTCATCCAGTCTGCAGTTTTATTTCTGTATCAAAAAGTTATTTTTAATTTTCATACCTAACAACAGATTTAAAATTCGATAAAACAATAAAGCAATTGTGCAATAATTTCCTCATCAACTTGAAATTGTTAAATTTTATTTCCTGTGATTGCTTTCAAGCATTTTGAATAAAGATTTTGATTGGGATAAGTTTCAAACTGTTGAAATTTAGTCAATTTATAACAGATCTAAATGATAACATATTGATTGAATTACTTGGGTATAAAAGTATGACATGCTTTATTTGCTGTATTAAATTTTAAAGAAAATAATATGTGGTGAATGAACATGGAAAAAAGAAGTACAAAAAAAAAGTATATCAAAAGAACAGCATTTATATTCAATATTGACAATCTTCATCTTAAAATTGTTCATAGGTCTTCAAAGATGGACGAAAACACTTGCAGCAAGGTCTAGCAAAGGAACTCTAGCATCAAATTCAGTGCTTTATGTTCCTTGGTAACCACTACATAAATCTTTAAATGAACATTTGTGGTTGTAGTAAAATAACCTGGAATACAAGGAGATTTGGGATTTATGTCATGGAGACAGTAGTCCAACAAAACAAATAACAAAAACACATCTCGTGGTCAACAAACAGTAATCAGACAACTGTAAGGACAGCTCTAAATCCTGTTTGAAAAAAGAAAGTTGCGAAGAAATAAAACAGAAAGCTATCAAAGATCTGCCATCAACATGAAATTTGCAAAATAATTTAAAAAATGATTAAGATAAGACATGAGACTACCACTTGCCAGTTTCCTGTCTTGGAATAGGCACCTGGATAAGTCAGGGGATAAACTAGTTTTTGGAGTTAACAACCCTCACACTCTTCAATCTGGATCTGTGGACTAACAAAATGCACATACAATAAAAGTCTGTCCTGGAAAAGCACTGTATGTAAAATTTTTGTGCCATCCTTCAAACTTTATCATTTGTTGTGGAACTTAATAAGATAAACCAGCAAGAAACAATCAGAAAAATCCATTTTTGTCATTTTTTTTCTTACTGTTTTATAAATTGTTGGTTGAATGAATGTTTGAAATTGGTTAAAAAATTTACTGTAAGCACATACATGTACATGTACCAGTTAGTTGGATTTGGCTATTTTTTTTTTAGTCTTTATTAGTTAAATAGCTCTTCAACTGTTTCGGTTTTATTTATCCTAAAGGCTTCCAAATATTCGGCTTTGAGCATTCCTGATGAAGGTAAATCCAGAAAAGCGCTTTGAACGCATGAAATTTATAACGTGTTGTTTTCACTTTTTAGTTAAGGGCATACAATACCGTTACAGGGGAAGTAATGACGTTGCTAACGTAAATTGTTATTTTCGCGACGTCAAACTGTGACTTATCAGGAAAAGATGCATTTTCCAACGGATTTTTATCATTCAGACTGATTTAACTTGAAAACGAGTTCATGGACCCTTCTTTTTTAAAATGACATTTGGTTTGACTACGTATGAAGATTATGTGTACCAATTTTCATGAAAAAGTCAATAGTGCAATTATTTTAAATTTGATAAATATACAGCAAAAAATTACGTTTTTTTTTCTATATTCTTGAACATTTGATAAATACGTCCACAAATCCGAATTTTGAGGAAATATCTGAAATTTCAACCTCAATTTACTCAAAAAGTAGCACATGATGGTATATTTTTTATTGCATATTTGATTTAATCAGGTAAAAAATAGCCTATATGCAAATTTTCATCAATATTTCATTACGGGATCAAAACTGTATCGTATGCCCTTAAGTATTGTCATCACAGAAACCCTATGTTGTTATGCATAGAGTTCACCTGTCAAGGATATAATGACTAAATGTGTATAGTTAAGGAAATTAAGCAATAAACTAATTGGCATTTTATAGGGAAAGGGAAGTAATTAAAACAGAACAAAAAAATGGTTTGTAAATTAGTGTTGCAATTGGTAAAAGATATCCAATATCTTCCCTTTTTAGCTAGAAAGACAATTTTATATGTATTGAAATTTGGAGGAAGAATTCAATTTAGATATTCTAATGTTATGAATACATGTTTTATGATTAAATATGATTTTGAGGTAGAGAAGTAAAAAGATGGGTTTAATATACAATCTACACACATTCCGGTAGCAGTAAAAGGCAATGAACATCTCATTTGCATGCATATTTGTCTTGTGTAATAATGTCACACCTTACATAAATTATATATCAAAAATAGGATATAAAAATGTCAAAATTTCATGCTTGACATACTTTTCTATTTCTGAAATTTGAATAAAATTGAACACTTGAAATATAATATATTGAAATTTAAATGATCCTACAAAAGTACAATTATGTAAAACTTATGTGTATTGGTGCACCTTTATGATATTGTCAGACTCTTAAGTGAAGGTCATTAACTTACCTTGTAAATTGTCAAACACAATTGAATTTAGTTCACACTCAAAAGTCCAATGGCAATATGCCTGAACCTCTGTATTCAGAAAATAAAATGGTATGGCCAAGTGCAAATTGATGCTAGAACGAGATCAAAGTTATATATATATATATTATAAATTGACTGATAGGACATGAATTCTCTGATGACTGCAGTGTCTTATAGTTGTCCATCTCTACTCAAGCTGAATTATTTTATGATTTCTTGAATATATTTTGGGGTGGGGTTAGATTTTCAACAATTTCATTTATGAAAGAGGAGTCATCATATTATTTTCAGAATATTCAGTTTGATTTCTTTTTTTTTCAGAGGTAGTACTCCAACTCAAACCTATGTATCAACACCTTCTGTAGGAGCCTATAACCTTCAGGGCTCTGGTCCTGCATCACCAGCTAGCAGTAGTCCAGGGAGTCAGGTAAGTCATAGTTCAATACAACTCAAACCTATGTATCAACACCTCCTGTAGGAGGCTATATCTTTCAGGGCTCTGGTCCTTCATCACCAGCTAGCAGTAGTCCAGGGAGTCAGGTAAGTCATAGTTCAATACAACTTAAAACCTATGTATCAACACCTCCTGTAGGAGCCTATTACCTTCAGGGCTCTGGTCTTACATCACCAGCTAGCAGTAGTCCAGGGAGTCAGGTAGGTCATAGTTCAGTACAACTCTAACCTATGTATCAACACCTCCTGTAGGAGGCTCTAACCTTCAGGGCTCTGGTCCTACATCACCAGCTAGCAGTAGTCCAGGGAGTCAGGTAGGTCATAGTTCAGTACAACTCTAACCTATGTATCAACACCTCCTGTAGGAGGCTCTAACCTTCAGGGCTCTGGTCCTACATCACCAGCTAGCAGTAGTCCAGGGAGTCAGGTAGGTCATAGTTCAGAACAACTCTAACCTATGTATCAACACCTCCTGTAGGAGCCTATAACCTTCAGGGCTCTGGTCCTACATCACCAGCTAGCAGTAGTCCAGGGAGTCAGGTAGGTCATAGTTCAGAACAACTCTAACCTATGTATCAACACCTCCTGTAGGAGCCTGTTGTAATTTCTGCTTTTTGCTATGTTTTTGTATAGTTATAAGCAAACATATACGACGGAAACTCTTTAAATTGACTAACTACAGTGTTGTCTGTCTTTCATCAGGCCTATGTTCTTCACGGTAATATTGGTAGCGTAAACTAGTGAATAATTCGTAGTTAAATAATATATTTATTACGGCACAATGCAACAATGTACAGACTAAACTATCGTAATATATTTAACATGTAATTTCCAACGTATTCTCAAAATACTTGTCTATAAATAGTTTGTCATGTAAATTTGCATAAATAGGCGGAGCTGATCTCAATAATAATATTTCGCATGTGTTTTTGGAACTAGGATAAGGAATTGCCAAACGATATGTGTATAGTAAATATTTTAGACCATGCGAGGCATACCGATATCTGCGCTGCTTCTTACCTCTAATGGAACCACCCGGGATCTTTGCATTTGCCAAAATGTAAACAGCAAAGACTGAGGAATTTGACCTTTGCACTGGTATTTATTTTTAAAATACTGGAAGTAAATATTCTAAGCCGGAACAGAAATGAAACGTCAAACGCTGACAAAAACATGGGAGTCCTCGACTCAAAATGATCCTTTCTTCGTAAGAAAATAGGTAAATCTATTAAGATAAAGCATATATTAACTTTAGCTTATGCTTCTTGTGTAGTTTTGGATCCATGCTTAGAATATTTACCAAATGGCTGTGCTTTGAACAGTACATGACGAAATTGCACCATTTTTGGCACTGATAATATAGTTAATAACTAAAAGTGTAACGTACGCTTTCTGTGCATTAAAAAGTCACAGAAACTATAAATACATATTATCACATTTTACACTCTCAAAACATAAAACTGATATTAAATCATTAATTGGGAACCACAAGTGCACATTTACAACAGAGCCTATAACCTTCAGGGCTCTGGTCCTACATCACCAGCTAGCAGTAGTCCAGGGAGTCAGGTAGGTCATAGTTCAGTACAACTCTAACCTATGTATCAACACCTCCTGTAGGAGGCTCTAACCTTCAGGGCTCTGGTCCTACATCACCAGCTAGCAGTAGACCAAGGAGTCAGGTAGGTCATAGTTCAGTACAACTCTAACCTTTGTATCAACACCTCCTGTAGGAGCCTATAACCTTCAGGGCTCTGGTCCTACATCACCAGCTAGCAGTAGTCCAGGGAGTCAGGTAGGTCATAGTTCAGAACAACTCTAACCTATGTATCAACACCTCCTGTAGGAGCCTATAACCTTCAGGGCTCTGGTCCTACATCACCAGCTAGCAGTAGTCCAGGGAGTCAGGTAGGTCATAGTTCAGTACAACTCTAACCTATGTATCAACACCTCCTGTAGGAGGCTCTAACCTTCAGGGTTCTGGTCCTACATCACCAGCTAGCAGTAGTCCAGGGAGTCAGGTAGGTCATAGTTCAGAACAACTCTAACCTATGTATCAACAACTCCTATAGGAGCCTATAACCTTCAGGGCTCTGGTCCTACATCACCAGCTAGCAGTAGTCCAGGGAGTCAGGTAGGTCATAGTTCAGTACAACTCTAACCTATGTATCAACACCTCCTGTAGGAGGCTCTAACCTTCAGGGCCCTGGTCCTACATCACCAGCTAGCAGTAGTCCAGGGAGTCAGGTAGGTCATAGTTCAGTACAACTCTAACCTATGTATCAACACCTCCTGTAGGAGCCTATAACTTTCAGGGCTCTGGTCCTACATCACCAGCTAGCAGTAGTCCAGGGAGTCAGGTAGGTCATAGTTCAGTACAACTCTAACCTATGTATCAACACCTCCTGTAGGAGCCTATAACCTTCAGGGCTCTGGTCCTACATCACCAGCTAGCAGTAGTCCAGGGAGTCAGGTAGGTCATAGTTCAGTACAACTCTAACCTATGTATCAACACCTCCTGTAGGAGGCTCTAACCTTCAGGGCTCTGGTCCTTCATCACCAGCTAGCAGTAGTCCAGGGAGTCAGGTAGGTCATAGTTCAGTACAACTCTAACCTATGTATCAACACCTTCTGTAGGGGCTCCAAGCATCAGGGCTCTGGTCCTTCATCACCAGCTAGCAGTAGTTCAGGGAGTCAGGTAGGTCATAGTTCAGTACAACTCTAACCTATGTATCAACACTTCCTGTAAGAGCATATAACCTTCAGGGCTCTGGTCCTACATCACCAGCTAGCAGAAGTCCAGGGAGTCAGGTAAGTCATAGTTCAGTACAAGTCACAACCACATGCAGAATAAAACCTCTATAGAGCTCTGGTCCTAACCAGTTGTGATGGACTTGAGAGGGGTGGATGCTGAATTTTTTAGATTTAAATTGAAAGAAGACAACTTCCTACATGTATGTTCACAACAAACTAAAAAAGATATCTTATCATCATCATTTAAAAACTTTAAGTAACAAAAAATCATTGGCTATCCCTAATACAGCCATTTTGGTCTGGTCACTATTTTTCATACAGTTATACATATTTATTACTAGAAACAGTATGACATTGAATTTAAATGAGATTTGTATACTAACAAATATTCATTATACCAAGCTTTTAAAAAAGAGCTGCAGGGTTTTTTTATCATGTAGATGGTATCAAATGTTTAAAAAAAATTGATAATCTATTTTAACATGAAATTATTATAAGGTAAAATGTTTTGGCTTTTTTAATTGTCAGGCTTTCAGTGTGTCAAGGAAAGGCTGAAGATTTGACCATTTCAGTTTTGAAGCTCTTATAAGTTGATGTAGCTTTCCAAATTATGGACTGATATTGAAGAGACTTCTATATAAACCCTGTTGGTCCAAACATACATATCAGTTTTATGAAAGATGTCATTGGGAAATAAATTGTGAAGTATCAAAATTCATTTTATTATTTACCAATACATTCACGAAAATAGGTTTGCATATCATCTGTACTTGTAGGGTAATTATCTTACATTCCTTGAGGACATTTGATAAATGTTTATATACAGGAAATAATATATATGTAATTAAACAAATCCTGTTTACTACAGATACAATCTTAACTTAACCTATTTAAGTTGTAGTTACATGTAAATGTTGAAATTATACTTATTGAGCTCATTTCTATGTGTGATAGTGTCATTACATTGAGTCTACTACCCATGTGTGATAGTGTCATTACATCGAGTCTACTACCCATTTGTGATAGTGTCATTACATCGAGTCTACTACCCATGTGTGATAGTATCCATTACATTGAGTCTACTACCCATGTGTGATAGTGTCCATTACATTGAGTCTACTACCCATGTGTGATAGTGTCCCCATGTGTGATAGTGTCATTACATTGAGTCGACTACCCATGTGTTAAAGTGTCCATTACATTGAGTCTACTACCCATGTGTGATTGCGTCCATTACATTGAGTCTACTACCCATGTGTGATAGTGTCATTACATTGAGTCTACTACTCATGTGTGATAGTGTCATTACATTGAGTCTACTACTCATGTGTGATAGTGTCATTACATTGAGTCTACTACCCATGTGTGATAGTGTCTTTACATTTAGTCTACTACCCATGTGTGATAGTGTCATTACACTGAGTCTACTACCCATGTGTGATAGTATCCATTACATTGAGTCTACTACCCATGTGTGATAGTGTCCATTACATTGAGTCTACTACCCATGTGTGATAGTGTCCCCATGTGTGATAGTGTCATTACATTGAGTCGACTACCCATGTGTTAAAGTGTCCATTACATTGAGTCTACTACCCATGTGTGATTGCGTCCATTACATTGAGTCTACTACCCATGTGTGATAGTGTCATTACATTGAGTCTACTACTCATGTGTGATAGTGTCATTACATTGAGTCTACTACTCATGTGTGATAGTGTCATTACATTGAGTCTACTACCCATGTGTGATAGTGTCCATACATTGAGTCTACTACCCATGTGTGATAGTGTAATTACATTGAGTCTACTACCCATGTATGATAGTGTCATTACATTGAGTCTACTACCCATGTGTGATAGTGTCTTGACATCGAGTCTACTACCCATGTGTGATAGTGTCATTACATTGAGTCTACTACCCATGTGTGATAGTGTCGTTACATTGAGTCTACTACCCATGTGTAATAGTGTCCATTACATTGAGTCTACTACCCATGTGTGATTGTGTTCATTACATTGAGTCAACTACCCATGTGTGATAGTATCATTACATTGAGTCTACTACCCATGTGTGATAGTGTCATTACATTGAGTCTACTACCCATGTATTAATTTTACATTTTCATTTTCATTGTTGAAACCAAAATTTCCTGAAGGATGTGTTTATTAAGGACACCAAACTTAGCAGAAATATATGGATCCAGTAGAAGAGTGATGGTCAGAAAACAGAAATTTTCTTTTCATATTCTAATGTACCTTGGAAAAACGCATTGACCTGATGATGTTCTCTTTTTTCTTTTCCTTTTTTTTTTTGGGGGGGGGGGGAGGGGGTAGGGCACTGCTATCTGGTTGACATATGCCTACAATTTAAAACATGCCAGATCATGGAACAGATTTAGATTGACTGTTACATTCATTGCTTGGTACAGACATTTTTGAAGATAATTAAAAAAGGATGTACATTGTAGTTTCAAAATTAATGCAATCAGTTTTTCCTGATAGTTTACAATTAATCCTATTTCATAGTTAGTATAACCAATAGATTACTTATTATCAATGTTTTATGTTTTATAGAACTATAACCAATCAGCCAGACCATTTGGAAATACCTCCAATAAACCTAGCTATGGCATGGACAATGTCACACAGAAAACATCACAGATGTCATTTAATCCGTAAGTATCCACGACTCTCAGTCCAATAAACCTAGCTATGGTGTGGACAATTTCACACAAAAAACATCGCAGATGTCATTCAATTCGTAAGTAGCCATGACCCACAGTCCAATAAACCTAGCTATGGTGTAGACAATGTCACACAAAAAAACATCACAGATGTCTTTAATCCGCAAGTATCCACAACGCTCAGTCCAATAAACCTAGCTATGGTGTTGACAATTTAACAAAAAAAATATCTCAGATGTCATTTCAATCCGTCAGTAACCACGACCCTCAGTATATCAAAAATACTCAGTCTAAGACAGTTCCCTAATTTGCTCAGTGAAGATAAAGGGACTTTTGTATACTGTAAATTCAGAAATTATTGCATGCATTTATTATTGCAATTTTGGCAAAATGGTCTAAAATGGGAGATTAATTATTGTGATTTGTGGAAAAGCTGCATACAGATATATCTGTCAGATATCAGAATGCAAGTTTGTATTATTGCGATTCTCACCCAGTCGCATTATTTGCAATAATAAAAACCTCGCAATAATTTCTGAATTTACAGCAACTCTTGTCAAACTTTAATCTGTGTTAAGAAATAACTAAGGAGTTTGCACCTAAATGTTTTATAAAATTTTTCTTCATCAAAATTACCAAATATATCCGATGAATGTGAATGGTCTCACTTCCAGTGCTCAGATAGCTGTTGTATGCTGAAATGCCAAAATGTAGAAAACCATGAAAAAATGAAGCAATCATAAATTCAGATTGTATGAATGTCCAGTATCACTATTAAATACATGTATCTCATTAAATGTATTATTCCACATTTATTGATCCTCCAAAGCCAATTAAAAACATTTAAGTGCATAAACTTGAGTCTGAAGAAATTTGGATTTCAATTCCGTGATATTTTAATTCTATAAAACGAAAATAACACTTTCATGACTTTATAAATTTGGTGCATCCAAAGCCCATTTCTGTTTTACCTATATATATACAGCAGTGCAATTTAACTAAATGTTTATAGCTGTTTTGTTTGTAAAACATGCTGTCAAACACACATATTTAAATTAAATTGGTTCTTTACCAAGTATTTAAAAAAAATAATTGTAAACCAAATGAAAGCATAAATATTATAAATAATTCTTATGATGATTGGTGTATAATATTAAAGTAATAGACAACATTTCAAAACACGGACGAAGAAGAATGTTTAAATTCTAACTATTTCCTGTTTCTTCCCAATTTCTTATCTGTTAGATTTTAATTAACTAGGTTCGATTCAGGTAAAAATTCAATCTATGTTTGATACAGGTAAAAATTCAGGAGAAAGGTATTTGATTTACAAAGTCAAAGACCTCACTTGGTTTTATTTAGTGGAATACTGTAAAATCTGGATACAATTTAGATATTATAGAGAGTTATTATCAATGTCATCAACAAAGCATTCAAGTGCTAGAGTTGTTCTTTGATTCTATCTTTTTCATTTATTAATTATTGGCAAAATTTGCAATTTATTTAATATTTGTGATTAATGTCTTTAATTATGATTTTTGTCTGTAAAATGTATCACTCATTAATGCTTTGCCAAGTTTACTTCCCATGGTATTACTCTTGTTTTTTTTTTGATAATTATTATGAATATTACTGAGGGCACTGTTTTTGATGCATGAATTCTCAAGTGATTTGAGATATGTGCAGTAGCTGGTATTAGAGAAAAAAAAAAGGCATGAAATCACTGTGAATCCACAAATTCTTTGACCTTTCTATCTGTATCTTAGTTATCAACGTCAAATATTCAGAAAGAGATTTTTAAAATGTACTTAATTATGATGAATATTCAGCTTCATTTTCAGCAAAAAGAATTAGAAAGCTCAAACAATTCTCAAGGTGGGTCCACAACTGTGAACCATACCATATTTTACATTTAAATTAATGTTACAAAATTTTAATAAATATTCAACTTTATTTTCAACAATAGCCATTAGAAAGCTCAAATGATTGTTAAAATGGATCCACACCTGTGGACAGTACCATATTTGACACTATGTCCATTTTAAAGTCCTTGATGTAACAGGTTATTGAATACCACAGGTTTTGTAATTACAGACCAGGGTGTTTAAATCGTTTGGACAGGTACTATTACCAAAGTAATAGATTGTGTTATAAAGGATGTAATTGAAGGTTTACATTGATAAAATCTCCTAACAGATTAAAGGTGATAAAGTATCTTTATTAACTTAAAATCAAGACATAGGATAGTAATTTTTCTGACATATCAGTAAGAACAGTTGATAGACTTTTTGATTGTTGATGTTTTGATGAAAAGATTTGCACTGCAGATAATTCTAATTTAAGAAATCTCAGGCATAGCAAATTTTCTGTGTTTGGAACAGTTTTCTCAGTACTAGTCTTCATTTTGAAAAATTCAGGGTTAAATAAGAATAAATACAGTTAACCAATCCAAGCCTAAAAAATATCCTGGGACCCAAAATTGACTTGAGCCTAGTTTGTCTGATGGAGTTGGAACCTAATATACAAAATTTGTCAAGTGAAATTTAATCAAAATGTATGTGTCTTTGAGTTACTTTCTCATTATATTAATGTATTATCCCAACAAATTTGATGTAAATGGAATATTTTTATTAGTCTCTTTTAAATTTATTCATATTGTTTTAGACTCAGCTGGTATTGTCATATGTCTATTGTTGAAGATTTTTTTTGTGACATTAGGTTGCTGTCTCTGTGATGTAAAACCCACATTTGTTTTTATTCATATCAATAAATGATTGCCGTCTGCTTAATCTGCTGCAGCACTGCATGACTTCATAAGAACAGCTGATTGATTAGTGTTTTTCAATGAAAATGTTTGCAATGCAGACTTCTAATTAAATCTTATCTTATTGATCATTCAGTTATCATTTTAAGCTGGCTGAATATTTGTCTGAAAGAATTTATAGAAACATGCACAAACCATATAAACAGATCCATAAAGTGGAAAAATAAATGACAAAATCAATGAAAAATGTGAAGAGGTTGCATGCCAACAAAGAAATCGAAAAATAAAAGAAAAAGTATTATGGTACACTACATTTGAATGAAAATAAAACAGATATAGAGGAAAACTAGATAGATTGAAAGTAACTTATTTAGTTGCAAGAAATAACAAAGTGTCTAAGAATCTGTAGGACACATAACTAGAACATTAAAACAAAAGCCCCAATGTTTTGTAAGTAATTAATCATAAAAAAATGCTCTTGCATATGTGAAAATTTGTGAAACTTTCAGAACTTTGTGGAAAATTTGGAGACTTCCCAATCATAACACATCTTCTTATCAAAAGTGCAAGATAACCTGATTCTTTTTACAATATAAAGTATAGTATGACGCTTAAAATTAGCTATATGTATTTTCTTTTCATTACAGAAAACCAGTTGATTATCAAAGTGCCGGTCAAAAATATGCTGAGAGAGATGATAAACCACCATCATCATCAATGCAATCTAAGTCATTTAGGTTCTTGAAAGACACACTCGATAGTGGACAAGGTACAAGATTTTCCTTAACATGGACTTAAAGTTTTTCAGAAATCTGATCCAGTTAAAGAATTGTTTTTCCTTACAATACAGTGCATTTAAAATGATTAGAATCAGAATAAATACCTAAAAATTCAAGTCCTATTAAAAGAAGAATACAGTTTAAATTTGTTGGTCATTGCAGTGCAAAAATGCCAATTATGATACACATGCAAATTTTCATGCTAAATATTATGTCATTTTGATTGTAGTGTCAATACAGTACATGTATTTAATGTTGTGATTTCAATCTAAAGAAATTTTATAATTGTTCAACAACATGTATAAAAAAAAATCCTTGAGAAAGGTTGAACCTACAGATTCTATTCAGGGTATCATTTTAAATTGTCCTTTTGAGTGTATAAGTTATGTTTAAATAAGTCTAAATTGAAAACAACGTTCAAACCTATGATTGCGTTGGATAAAAACTGAAATTTTATACGTGTGCATGCAAAACAAATTTCTTGGTAGAGGGGTCTAAATACAGCACAAGCAACATTTTCCAAAAGTCCAAAAAAGTGAAAAAGTATATTTAAGTTATGTTTAATACACACAAGTCTTGAAAGGGCTTTGTACAATAGGGTTCACTTGGTCAAACATTATAACAAAACTTGATGAAAACTGGTATTTTAGATAGTGGCACTATGACAGTTGTGTAACCATTAATTGTGGCAATTTTTACCATAGAAATCTGCTTGTTAAATATTATATTATTGGTAAAATAAACTGGCTTCATACCAACCTTTCACTACCAACGGGCTTAACACATTTCAACAGTTGAACAGTTTGAAGAGAGGAGTTCAAACTGCAACTTAGAAAAACATTTAAGCCAACTGGTATAGTGAAAGAGCAAAGACTTTTGAATAATAAGCTCAGCAAGTATAATATTTGAATGCATTTAAACTTAAAAGGTATTTTAATTTGGCTATTTAATGCAAAACTATAACTTCTTTTCTGTCTTGGATATTGTTGAAAAAAAAATGATTGGAAAATATGCATGTTTGATTAAGCAGGGATTTTCTAACCATTAATATTGTTAGAAATCTTCTGATCTGATACATTTAAATTTTGAATTTATACAATGATCCCATTAGCTGTTGTATTGAAGTGTTAAGATAACCATTTCCTCTTTGTTTTGTAAACAAATTAATCTGCATGGTGTGTTACTAACCCTGATTTTACAGAACCTCCAAGTGCTTTGAGACCTATGAATAAATCTGTTACCAACCAGAGAGCCGTCTCACCAAACACAGTTGTTTCAAGTAATTCTAAACCTCGCCAGTTCAACACGCCTACTGGTCTTTACTCAGACCAGAACGTTGCTGATGCTCATAAAGCGCATGCCAGGTTTGTTAATGTGCTGTGATAAATATCAGTCTTGTTACTCAATGTACAGGGGTTTCGACAAGAACAGTGTCTGTTTCATTGCAAGCTTTGGTATTTCCTCCAAGTGCCAAATAATTTGGGCATTTCCCCCCCAAAGGGCCCAAAACTTCAGTATTTCCTAAAAGAGCAAAACACTTGTAAAAATTTAAATTGGCAGTTTTGAAAAATTGAATGGTTTGATCATATTTTAATTTGGGAAGTAAAGGGTAAATTTGTAATTGACTAAATTCATCAAATATCATTACCGTCATATTTTGATGCAATCGGACAAGGTAAAGATAAAAACATACCTTTATTTCAATTATCAACATTTTTTGTATTCTAAAACATTTGTATTGATGATGTAAGAAACTTCTGATTGATAACAGACACTGGAATCTTATCAAAACATGCCTGTTTATTGGGGTAATCACAGATCTAATCATCTTTCACCATTATTGGCTGATGAGTTAAATTATGTGTAAATGTGTTTGAGATGTAACAGATCTTTATTTAACAGAAGAAAAACATATTTCGTTTAATTTTGTTACAAATTAAATGCAAAAGAAAAGAAATTATTATTAGATTAACTTATGTTTATTGTTACCCTGAAAAAATTTGAAAAAAATCAAAATTTATAGTACATGTATCTCAAAAGATACAAAATTTACATCTTTAAAATTTGAATTTTTTTTCTCCAGATATGTTAGATTTGTATTACTCTGCAACAGATTTACACATTTATTAGAATGATTACTGTGATTACACTTGTTTAACAATTACATTGATTACACATAATGTTACCTGATTACTGTGGTATGCTAGTTTTTGTTTGCATCAAGGAAAATAAAACAAACATTTATTGTAAGATTTCATTTGATGCAAAAAGAAAAAAACAGTTCACAGTAATTACATATATATTAGAATATTGATAGCGATTTCAAATAAAATTTCATAATAATTGCAGAATCACCAACTAGTGCACCTCTTCCCCCATGGAAAAGGTAGGAATGATGTTGTTGAGTTATCTCCCTTTTGTATTGAATTGTGTTTTTATGAAATTGCCTCCCTTTATGCATTGATTTTGATTTTATATCATTTATCAATTGACAGTTAACTGGATTCTTATTAACAATGTTTTATATTGTGTTGGAACCCCCAAAAAGTTTGTACATGTATTATTTGAATGTTGCATGGTTAATGTGTTGTAAGGGAGACAAATCAATTTATTAAAAAAAAACAAAAAAAAACATAAAACTACACAAGAAAGAAATTGGGCAGGTTTATGGTACTGAAAAAAAACCCAGAACAAATTAGACAAAACATTCAAAAAGCAAAAGAAAACATTTAATTTAGAAATGAAAATAAAAAAACAAGACAAAACAGATATAAAGCAAAAGAAAATATTTTGATTTAGAAATATAAGATTGTCAATTTTATCTTTACTTGCTGCAGGGCAGTACAAAATGCCAGGAGAAGGTAACTAGACATATGCAAAATATAGTCTTAAGTTAGTGCACAGATTGTCAGTAGACAGTTATAGGTTTTTTATTCAGTTTTAGCCACACAAATTGTATTCCAGGTTGATATTTTCTGTAAAGAAATTGAAATCAGCAGAAGTAATACTAGCAAGATTTTGACTTTCCTACTCATAAAACTGTTAATTATTTTTTTTGAAAGGTGCATTATTATTTGAAACTTGGGCTGCAAATATTTAATAATTGTTGCAAATGTCAGTAAAACTGTTTTTTTCTCTCACTTATGAAAAAAGAGATTACAAAATATTTTTTATGGTAAATTTGATAAATTATGAAAATTATGTTTCAAAAACTGATGTTTTGAAAAGAAAAGAATAGAAGAAAAGTAACATGAAGCAGCGGTCGAAGTCAAAATTTTCTGGTTTCATTTTCATTTTGCTGTTTATTTTATTTATTCTGTATTCAGTTGGAATCCCAGAAGTTATATACATAATGTTCTGTTTATTTACAACATGTATATTAATAGAAAAATCCCAGAAGTTATATACATAATGTTCTGTTTATTTACAACATGTATATTAATAGAAAAATACCAGCAGTTATATACCACTGTGTTTATCTTAAAACTCCACCACTATCAAAGGAACACAATACTCCCAACTATAGCTTCACCCTACACTGTGGATTCAGACATTTTCATGGGTACCAATTTTTCTTGGATTAAGGAATAATCATATTTCCATGGTTTTGTCAAAGTCTGCCTTTAAGGCCTATAGAAAATTTGAACTTTGTCAAATATTGATAATTGTGATTCACCTACACTCACAAAATCTACAAAAATTGGTATCTTGGAATAATAATGAATCCTAAGTAATTTCTTTCCTTTGGAACCTGTAGTGTTCTGTTTATATAAATCACTATCCAGAGAGAAAACTCCCTACATTTCTTTAGCTCTCCATTTAAGTTGCAAACTATATTTAAAGAAGCTGACAAAACTTTAGCTTAAGTTTCCTTCCTGTAGTAAACCCATTGAATTTTATTATGCTTTATGGTGTATATATCTTGCTAACTAGTCAAAATACTTTTATGGTCTGAAATGTGTACATGTATCACATTTTTGTTTAGTATTTTGATGATTTTGTTTTTAATGAATTTAGAATTTATGTTAGTTATTTAATCAGTAAAAGTATTTCAAGCTGTTAAATAAGATTTGAATATATTTACAGTATTATAGGGGATTCGTTATCGTTCTTATTGTATTGAATTTCATGGACATCATGGGTATAATTTACTTTATATCATGGAAACTTTCAGAAGTATACATCTTTGTCATACTGGATACCGTGATAGTACGGTGATACCATGCTTTTTATTGATAATGAACTCAAACTTGATGAACAGTACTTACCAGTCATTGCTTTGTCCTTATTTGGTATAGGTATCTTTATTTTTTGTTTTTGTTCAAAAACCTTTCGGGTCGATATTTCCTGGCCACCATTTTCTTTCTTTCTATATTTTTTGCCTTTTTTAAACTGTTTGTTGGCCCTTTTGATCAGACCTCTATTTGTCTCTTTTTGGTATACACTTGTTCAACTTTCTTCCTTGATTGCGTCTTTTGGTTGTGTGAAGCTGCTCCAGACATGATTGTATCTTTTAGATTTGAGTCCCGGAAGCACAGTTGATTATTAGCTCTTTATATACTACCTGAAATACAATTGTAGAATTAGACATTTCATGAAATGGAATTTGACATTAATTATGAATTGAATGGAGTCGTGGAGCTTCTTATTAAAATTTTGTTGTCATTATTTGTATACTATAAGCTTAACAGTCATTTTAGTTTTTAACTGCATGTATGATTATAGACCCTCCTATGCATGATAATTTCAGGAATAGTGATGAGAATGAAACCTCAGATCAAAGTGGTGCTGATTCGGAAATTGACGAACAAGGCAAAAAAGTTTACCGTCCCTCAGAGACATTCAAACTTGTACACGAAGCAGAAAGTGGCGAAAAGAAAAATGAGGATGATTATAAACCCAATCATTCTCGGACATTTAAATTTTTACAACAACAGTTGAATGGGTAATGCGTAAATTTTTTTAATCACAAAATGTTTCACTTATATATAAACTTGTATTTTCACTCAAGACTATATATACGATTTGACACTTTGATACTGCACAGAGAATGCTATCACTTTTCTACATGTTTAAATGACAATTTAGCCAAGAAACTTACATAAATTTATATGTTGTTTTTTAGTAATAACAAAAATTAAGACGTTTTACTTTGATAAAACTGCCGAAATTAACTTACTTTCCTTTTCAAAATTTTCTGGATCTACCAATGTCTAAAAGATTTTTGCAGATATGACTGAAAGAAATTGCATTTAGAAGAGCCTGTATTTATACTACTTTCAGGATGCGATAGCTTACAATATGTCTTATTTTCAACAAAAATATTCTTCTTCTTGTTTGTTTCTCACCTAATTTACCTATGGGAAATCCATGGTAATTATTTTTCATGCAATAAAGACATTTCTTCATGCCTATGGACTTTTATTTTCTGTTAAATCCAAGCGATGGGTTTAATTATGTATGTGCATGAGCATGGAATTCACTTGAATCTGCGATAAGTGTTATAAATGTAGTAGTTTTTAAGAATGTCACTAAATTTGATTGCATGTTCTACAATTAATATTTATTTGGCATTAATTTTCAGCTTTGAAATTAAATGAAAATGATGAATGTTATATGGTAAAAACAAATACATGCACAGTTGAGCGAGAAATATTGAGAATATATAAATCATTAAAAAGGCTTATGTATAATTACTATAATAGGTTTAATACATGTTGTTTTTTTTTTTACTCCTTGTAATTAATGTAATGGACAATAAAAAAATGTGATTGTTAACTTTATTTTTTGGTATTTTTAGATGTGATTTTTGAAATGATGTACAGGAGAGTGTCTACTATTTTCAAAATCTTCATTCATTGCCATACATACTGTCATAAAAAACAAAACAATACTTAAGTTATAACAAATTATTTCCACAATGGTAAAAAGAGCTCAAGGAAATAATCAGTGGTGGTTAAAATCAAATGATTGAAACAGAAGTAATGTAAATAAAAAAACAATAGCAAAGGAACAGTGATTTTTTAGAATTTCATAAAAAATGGTTATTTTGGTGTTGTAGATAACATGTATATTTTTGTTTTTCAGCAGCAGTGATGTTCAACAAACACCACCTCCGTCTGCTCCCAAGGCACCACCACCACCGTCTGCTCCTAAGGCACCACCAGGTAAGTTAAGAAGTCCGTAAAAAGGAACAAAATTTGCAATGAGAAGTGACTAAATAGCCAATTTTGATCTGAACAATTGGTATATACAAGACTTGTTACTACAAAAGGTGTTCTATCACCAGTTATTTGCTAGATATAGACAAGCTGCAGTTGGTTTACTAGTTTACTGGTAAACTGGTATATTTATAAATCACTTGCTGATTGAAGATCAGTGGTTTATCCTTGTCACTTAAGATTCTTCTGAGGAGTCTCCGTGGCCAAGTGGTCTAATTATTTCATCTACTGTATCACTAGCCTGACCATCTGGGTCAATATCCCTACTGCACCTCAAATTGAGGAACACAGAAGTAGTGTGAAAAAAGGGAATTTTTACGTTGAGAAGCTGCATCACAAAAGACTTTTTGATGTTTGCTAAATTATGAAAAAACGAATCTCACTTTCGTACCTTAAAAAAAAATTAACCACATGTGAAAATGTCACAGCTTCAAAACAAGCCTTCATACATATCCAAGTTTACGATATGAGCAGAGAAATTGAGGAAAAGGCTACCATTACCACCTACCTGAAATGAATTGTGCATCTGTACCCATCTGCAGGAAAAGAACAAACCTGCCAAGTGCAGAGTTTGACAAATTGGAGAGGACACCTGACCATCTGCAGGAAAGCTTACAATCCTGTATGTATGACTGAAGTTGTGAGTTCGAACTCCGCACTTGGCAGGTTTGTTCAACTCCAATCTTAATTGACTAGGATTGTCAGTTTTCCTGCAGATGGCCAGTGTTACTCTCTAGGCACAGCTGTGTTTAACATAATAATCAATCAGACTCTTCCACAAATAAAATTTTTGTATAATCTTAAGAATGTACCATATTGAAAAAGGCATAAGAGATATAATTTCAAATCGAAAATAAATGCAGATATGGTTTCTCTTTGCATACGAACATCAACACTCAACTACTGCAGGATTGATTTTTGTCGAGCCTGCAACATTTTGTCATGGAAGTGAGACATACATTTGATCAATCAACATTTAGGTTCTGTCTGTGGTTAAAATAATCAATCACTTTGTCAAAACTTTATGGATTTTTATGAAACTTGGATAGATGCTTTGTTATTATCAAAAGAAAGTATTCAGAATGAAATTTTGAAAATATTTTTTTTCATTTTGCTGTATTTTACTGATAAAATGACTTACTTTTTTGCAGTTAACATTTAAACACAGTCTGGGGTTGAAGATTTAAGTCATCAATAACTTTGTTGAATAATCATAGAGTTTGATGAAACTTTGACAGAAGCTTTTGGAGGATTGATAGATAATATCTGAATCAAAATTTGAATTTTTTTTTTTTATTTTTCTGTGTTTTACTGACAAGTAGACTTAGATTTAAAAAAAAAAAAAAAATGAATTTTCTTTCTTTGTGTACTTACATAAAGCATTTTTTTAGGGTGTGCAAGAAGTAAGTTGTTCTTGAATCTATAATATCATGAAGTTTATGCTTTTATTTACATAATGATTAAGTATTTAACTTTTTTTTAATTTCAGCATCGAAACCAGGAGTTTGGACACCAGGGCAATCACAGGGAGGTGTTGCTACAGCCCCTAAGCCATTCTCTCCTACTGTACAGCCATCTCCTCCTGCCCCAGGGGGACCCCGTGGAGGGGCTGCACCTAAACCTACTGGGGTTGGTGCAGTGAGAGCCAAGAAAGGCGAAGCATCCATGTTTATGTCAGGTGATGCGGCTCCTGGTGGTCAAAGAGTACCAGTCTGTAACTCCTGTGGCATGAATATCAGGTATGATCATAGGGAAGACTTGCATTCTTTGCTGTTTATGATAGCACTTGAAAGGGTCACATTTAATCAGAAATTGTTATATCATAGCTGTTATGTAAGGGGCTTAAAATTGATAAAGTTGAGGCCCAGGAATGGATTCCAGTGCTTTTTAGACTGCTGTTCATGCAAGCAACACAGCTTGTTAGAACTGCTTTTCATGAAAAAATGAAAACAAAATTTTACTGTTTAAATTGGGAATATTTCTGTATTAGTTTCTGTCCAGTTTGACCTTAGAGCTTTACAGGAAAAAACGTTTGTTTTCATGGTCTAGCATCTCCAAGAAAGATAAATGATATTTAGTCTACATTTACTTTAAAAACGACTCTGTTCAATATAAACTTGATGCAACTTCTCACTCTTCATTCAAGTACTAGATAAAATTTTCTGAACTTAGTTGAATGGATGACTGAGTATTCAATGCTTTCTAAAAAGGACACTTAATATGATGGAGAAAAGATGGTACACAATTTTAAAAGAGTGGTGCCCTTTTGTATCTAAAATTCAGTAGTCCCACCCCCCACCCCTAGTAAATTGAAATTGCCAAACTCATGCTTTCATTATTATAGGTTTAACTTGTTTTTAGCTAAGCAATTTTAGTTAGAAATATTTTACCATTAGATGTATATTATTTCTAGAAGTTAAGTTCGTATAAAACATGAATGTTCTAAAAAATCTTGTACCAGAAGTTAAATATGTATAGATTATTACATGGCATTTTTCATATCAGACCCTTTATCGGCCCTAGGTCATGATATCAGCCCAAGAGCCGGAGGCTTGAGGGCCGATAAAGGGTCTGATATGATAAATGACATGTAATTATCTTTTTATCATATACTTCAACAGAAGAAATACAGACAAGATCTATTAATTAAAATTTTGTCTTTCTATGAATTTTTAGATAATAATTTACAGACAACCAAATAAGAATTTCTTAACTTTAAGTTTAATTGTTTTTATTGATATTACAAGCTTTTTATTTATCTTGTCACAACAATTATCATGTTCTTAGTTTGAAATTAGCTCCTCAACCATTTTGTGAAAAGTCTTAAATCACTTGCGGTTTTCCGCACTGTGTTGTCGTTTTTGAACAAATTTCCAGAAATGCACGAAGTTGCATGTGATAAACGTCACGGAAATTAACGGAAAGGCATGTGATAACATTCCGGAAGTAGTCAATAAAGGTTCCTTTATCTGCCCGCTGAGGAAATTCTTAGGAATCTGATCAATAAACCTAGTAATCCTTTCATAGCCTTTTAATATTTTTAAATGTTATTGAACTGTAAAATAAATTTTAGTAATATTTTATACAAGTATATGATAAATATATATATATATATATATATATATATATATGTATGTCAGGTTGATCATGTAAAAGTTATTGAGCATTTTAGCCAATGACAAACATCACAGAATGTCAAGGTTTTATGATTCCCAGTGAGGATTGAATATAAAAATATGCATGTATTTGTTAAATATTGATTTGTGTTTCAGCGAACAAAAACGGTAATTCCGCATTCTTTAATAGAATAATCATCTTTTATATAAGATGCATGTATTCATCAAAATAACTTTTACTATTGGTGATTGTCTCTAAGTTACAACCCATACAAGTGGACTGTTTGATTGTTTGTATGACAGACATCAGGGTTTCCTAAATTTATTGTCTCTCAAGCATTCAGTGTAAGTTTCATTTTCAAAACAAACTTTTTTTTTACAATTTTGATAGATCTTTCCCCATCTGACACCATGCACAGTTTCATTTTAATCAGAAAAGCTAAAGAATATGAAAAAAAAATTAAAGGTATTCAGTAAAACTTGTTTTGTTTGCAAATATTTATCCAAGCACAACACCATATGATATTTGTAATTTTACCGTAATATATAATTATTTATTTCCCTAGAAACCCTCCATTTGCTAAAAAAGAAAAATTCTTGATATTTTCAACAATTGCAGAGAGTGCATTAGCATCCAAGGGGGACACCTTGTACAGAAAATGTTAATGGTTGACACTTCTAATGAAAAAAAGTTAATATTTACATCAAACACATGGTATCCAGTTTTCAAGCTTGAAATCAATTGTTAAAAAATTTCTCTAAATTTAAAGGGCTTGTGAGGCTGCTCTTTTCAGGAAAATTTTACTGGCCTGGGTTATAGGGCTTGTGGTTAATTTACAAATTTCTCAATAAAGCCTTTTGTAGTTGTATACAGCATCAACAGTTTATACTGATGTTTAAGTCACCACTGAAGCATATGAGGACAATGAATCTGGATAGATCTGTTAAGTTCATACAAATATTGAACACTCTATTTATATGAGTTGTAAACCTGAATGGTCTTGAAGGTATACAGGTGCATGGATTACAAAATTAATTCTACAGTCCAAAATATATCTTTTTCTTCTATTGTATAAGACATTGATGACCTGAACGATTTGAAGGAAAGTGAAAATATTTAAGAATGTTTTAAAAAGTTATATATAGAAATGATTTGTCATGCATCTCTTTAGTAAATCAGCCATTTATTCCTAGTCTAGATACACCAAACTCTTTTTGCATGACATTATAGAATCCCATTATATATTATTATAATTAGATGACAATGAACTGAATTTATTCCTCATATGTCTATTTGTATATTCCCATGTGTAGTTGGGGATTGTGTCTCATTGACATTAACCCCCATCTCACAGGTATTTGTCCTCAAAACTAGATTTTCAGAGAGGTCTATTGATATCCAGTGTACTGTATGTATGTTCAAGACATACTTCAGAATAATTTTCTCATTTTGAGCATACCTATTACTAAACTGTGAGGTGAGAGTGACAACACAATGTAAACACTAAAATATTTATCATTGTTTTACAAATTTGCTTATTTTCTGCAGCTCAAACCAACATATATAATAACTGGTCATTGCCTTATACTTATAGTTATAAACTTGTGATCTGTATAGTGTAATATAATGGCTCTATATATTGCTGTGAAATTTTTTCAGTGAATAATTTTTTTATGACATGAAATATGTGATTATCAATGACCTCATTTTAATGACATAAAGAAGAATAGTTTACATATTTGATTAAAAATCTGACCATCAGAACATACTGATGACAAGCTACGATCTATTTTCCAAGATCCTTTTTTGAAGGTGAACTGTATCTTTTTAGCACTCATAAATGTATCACCTAATATTTATTTTAGCTGGTAGAATTCTTTAAATACTTTATCTTTTTAGCCCTCACAATTTATCATCTAACATTTATTTTTGTTTACTAATTCAGGGTACGACCTTTGGAATAGTTACATCGTTTTACCCCTCACATTATCACCTAACATTCATTGGTCAATGGCAAATTCTAAAATTATAATATTTAATGCAGGATTAAGACATTTTCTCATTGAAAAATTGTGTAACATTGCATGCACTTAAATAGTTATCAGATATTTAAATGGACTTTTCACTCAAAGAGATTTTTTGTAGTGGTGAGGGAAATATTTTTGGATCAAAGGTGAAAAGTCCTGTCACAGGATAGGTTTCCAAAAGAACAAATGATTACATATGTAATATTTTCATCTGATACAGGACTTTTATCTACTGTTTGAATGAACTTATTTTTAGGGGCGGGTTGGAAAAGGAAATTTTCTGTTATTTTCCCATTTGTTACTGAACTTTCAGTTTCAGTCACTTTTATAACTACCAGAAAGTCAAATTTTGAAGATTTTTGATGGAATGGAAAGCTTGTTTAGAAAAATATTCCAGAGCTCTGTTTTAATGCATAATTGTATCCTTTTTAAAAAACAAATTTATTTATCAGTAAATGATCATGCTTTGATGCTATGCTTCAAAACCCTCAATATTTTAATTTATCGATGTTGTGGAACATATTTATTACACTAATTGGTGACCTTAGATTTTATTTTCTTCATTTGTTTAAGTTTATCCAAAAAATATTTTCAACATAGGTGTCAACCCATGAATACTTTAAGGATCCATCAAATAATTTTAAGAATTTTTGGAAAACTTTCCTGAGGCAAGTCACATGAGGAGAAGATACATATTTTCCTGTATTGACAATATTACTTGAATTTTCCCCTTCATTGATCATTTATGGTTGGCAATAGCTGATATATTTATAATTGCACGTAATAAGAAGGCCATCTATAAAAAAATCACATTTTAAATTCCTATTCTATTATTTGTATTCAGTTGATCTACAATTAATTTAATGAATGTGCACATGCAATTATGAACTTATTATTTTTGTTTAAATTGACACACTTTTGTTAAAATATTGTTTAGTGTATGCAATATCGAATGATCCTATAAATCCTGTAATTAAAATTCTTTTAAAAACAGAATTAGTTTTACCCACTGAAGAGAAAATGTAATATTGAAGAAAGTGAACTAAATGGTAGCTGTGGAACCATAACTCAAATAGTCCTTATAATTTTTTCTGATTTGTGCAGACCAAGCAAATTGTCAAAATATTATCACAAGGACCATAAGAAATATTGTTCCGCAGCTAACTAAATGGATGCTACTCAAATCTCTAAAGGAAAGATATAAAAAGTTGACACCTGTGTTAAGATTATAAGCCTGGTATCATTGATGAGTTTGCCAGTGGATTATAAGCCTGGTATATGAGTTTGCCAGTGGATTATAAGCCTGGTATATGAGTTTGCCAGTGGATTATAAGCCTGGTATATGAGTTTGCCAGTGGATTATAAGCCTGGTATATGAGTTTGCCAGTGGATTATAAGCCTGGTATATGAGTTTGCCAGTGGATTATAAGCCTGGTATATGAGTTTGCCAGTGGATTTTTTTGCTACCCTGCATGGGCTTGACCTTATCTGCTAGAAAGATTGTCATTAGTCAAACCATTATAATAATTATCTTTACTGTGACTGTTCTATTTCAGAGGGCCATTTGTGGTAGCGCTAGGTAAGACCTGGTGCCCTGACCATTTTGTCTGTGCCAACCCTCGCTGTGGGACTAAGTTACTTGATATAGGGTTTGTGGAGGAGGGAGGATTCTTGTACTGTGAGAAAGACTATGAACTTTACTTTGCACCAAAATGTGCTGTCTGTGGTAGTGCTATTGTTGGGGTACGTACTCACACATTGACTTGTTTTATGAATTGGGTTTAGGCAATAATAAAAATATTCCAAGATTCTTGTCTGAACACCCTATGTTTACATCAAGCTCATGTCTTTTAATTTTATGTTTTATTTTTTTTTTTTTTTAAAGAATTTTCATGTTGTAAATAGTTTATTTATTTCTATACCACAGAAATGAAAATTTGCCAACAAGCTGCAATGTTTACATAGTTGGATAAGATTATGAGAATCTTATATTTTATTTTAGGCTTAATTCCCTTTTCCCGAAACATATGTAAACATTCATTGCAGTCAATTAATTGAAGCAGGAAACTTGAGAATCTTATATTTTATTTTAGGCTTAATTCCCTTTTCCCAATACATATGTAAACATTCATTGCAGTCAATTAATTGAATCAGGAAACATGAGTCCTGTGTGTTAACCATGGAGTCGTGCTGTAACTGAAAAAATGATCACATATCAGTAGATTTGGGGTACCTTGTTATATTGACAAATGATAATAAGATATGTTAACACCAAAATGGTAATAGACAGATTAATTTAAACAAGTAAACTCAGTATTCACGAAAAATGTTTTTGATTAGAATTAACAAGTTTTGATATTTTTCAGGAATGTGTAAATGCATTACAGAAGACTTATCACCCTAAATGTTTTACCTGTGTACAGTGTAAACAACAAATTGGCGGGAACCAGTTCCATTTGGAAGAAGGGAAACCTTACTGTGAAAATGGTAACTTCAAATAGTTCTTAGAATTCTCACGTTCTTTCATTTGTCAGGCAACTGTGCTGCCATCTTGATATATAGTACTGTAGCTGATTTAAGGAATAAATGAAAAAAGAAAAGAAATAATTATTTAAACATCAAGGAGGAAAACTATTTTGTTTATAGATATTTATTGCTTCTCTTTAAAGAATATATTAAGTTAACACATTTAAGTAACCTGAGTCAAGAATTAAATTACTCGCCTAATTGCAATATTCGCATTAATAAAAACCTTGCAATTATTTCTGAATTTACAGTATACTGTTAACTAAGGGATTCTAACAAATGTATGCATGTTGAATGTATACTTTTAACTTTCAGGTTCATTCTTCTGTGAGCTGAGCCCTACATGTTTTTGTAACTTATTTTTTTATTGTGCAAGCTTGCCTGATTTAAAACATTGATGAACAGTGTAAACTAAGATAATAATAATAATAAACCAGCCCATGCTTAAAACAAAATCTATAATATTTCATACAACCATTGCCATAGAATGCAAATTTGATGATGATATCATGACACAGGTACAATTTTGTGTTCTAGATTGGAGACAGCTTTTCCAGACCATGTGCCATTCATGTAATTTCCCCATTGAACCTGGAGATAACTGGGTAGAAGCTATGACCAAAAATTATCATTCTGGATGTTTTAATTGTTCTGTAAGTATATATATAGTCTTTTCTGGTTATAACTCACATATATACAGCATTTTCAGGAAGTCCTAAAGTTACTTATTTATTGACCGAATTTTTAATGGTTGTAAATTATAACTTGCATTTATACAATGAATAACTTGTCAGTTCATATATTGGTATACCTTGGATTGGAAAAAACTCATAAAAATGCCTTGTGAAAACAATGAAAATTTGTTATACAGGTTTAAGTTCACCAGAGCTTGATGTAATGGACAGACAGACATGTGTCTTAGTATAAAAATAACCCTTATTTACATAAATTGTAGTTTTCCATGACTATTCAAAGGTTACTTGATGATGCATTAAATAATGATATGCTATAGATGGCCATATAATTTGTTTTCTTGGTGAAAGGCTGTTGTAAGCTAAGGTTACTTCTAGAAGTCAACTATCAATCATTGCCCACAGTGCAAGACCTCAATGGGTAGTCAAGGTCTTTCAACACCCTTGTAGTAGTAGCAACCAATCATTGAATTATTTGTATGCCATATCTTGTGTAGAAGTTGTCATATTGGTGCTTTTGGCATCTTTTTAAAAAAAATTACATATTTAGCTGCACAATCTTAGTTTCATTGAATTTCTATTACTATTATTTTGTTTTTTTTTCAGACATGCCAGATTGGTTTAGAAGGACAACCATTCTTTGCTAAAGCTGGTAAACCTTACTGCAAAACGCATGCTCGATAAATATTACCAGATAGTAACCAGTGTGTTCTTAGATTGCTCCAGATCCACTACATAGTATAGTGCCTTTTCATATCTCCATCTGTAACATTGCATTGTGGGATGTGAATGTGATGTTACATTTTTTTTAACTTATATATGCAATGAAATTTTTAAAACTTTGTAAGTTTTATTCTGAAATCTGGATTATTTATAGTGTATAACAATTTTGGGCATGAGTGAGTTTTTGTAAATTGTGTACAATTATGTCATTGAACAAGATAGATTTATTGATATTTGTTATTATTGACAGTGAATTAATTAAATGTGGTATAATATTGAAATGCATGGAATTACCACTAATGAAAAAAAAATATGAAAATTTTTACATTATATTTTTCATGTTGATAAAGATTATTGTAAATTCACATTTATAATTACAACTAGAAGAAGATTTGATATTGTCAAAGGTAAAAAATTCTTTAAAGTTTTCATGGATCTGAAATCCATATATATTAAGAATAAAGCTCATACAGTCATTGTTAAGTGTCAACAGGTTTTCATTATAAAATTAACTCATATTCTATTTTCTGATGAATCAGCATAGAGGTCATAGTTGTTATCATTTTTGTTGCATTCTAATTTTCTAAAAAGCAACCAGTCAGAGGAATTAAAATACACACACACAAAGTTATAAAAAACTTCCATCCAATAAAAAGGTAAAGTTAATTTGAAAAAATCTTTACCAGGTTAGCATTTAAAGCTTTTAAACTTTTCACCTGGAGATGAGAAAAAATGATTTAAAACTGAAAGCATTCATCAAAAAACAATTCAGAAAGAAGATTGGAAGAAAAATCCATAGCCTCAAAATGTTAACCAAAATACTAAGCTGTTGTTATGAGGCCCAACAACAGATTTGTGTTTTGGTTACAAACAATTTCTTTCCATTACTTAAGACAATAAATCGTTATGATGATAATCAATTCCTTTATAACCTTTGTATAGAATGTCATTATCTAGAAGGTACAATTAACTGCCATTTACAGCAACATATCATTTTCATTAAAGACAATTTAGAGAAAACATATCCAATCATAAAATCTCTACTTGAAATACAATAATATCATTGATTATTGTATAGACATTGTTTATTTTCAGAAAATAAGATATAATTTCTGTCTAAAATGCAAAGAAAAACTGAAATTAATCTTTCCAAAATCTAAAGGACTAGTGGGAATTTCATTTGTCATACCCCCAAATATCATTGGTTCAATTCCATTGTCATACCCCCAAATATCATTGGTTGAATTTCCATTGTTTAGGACGTCGTTAGCCAATCACAATGCTTTGGTGTATGCTTTTAAAAATATTACCAAGAATGCATAAGATTCTGAAATGGTGAATTCTTAGTAAATGAACACTTAAAATCTTATTAGTAAATACATGTAATTGTTAAATAATCAAACACTTTAAAGCTCAAATATCTGCAGAAATTTTTTAGACATACATGTAGGAAATTTAATACTTTTAACTAAATAAAGACACTTTGAAAATTACTAAGGATCCCAGGCCAATATTTAAAAGAAGCAAAGATGATTGAAAAAATTTCACTAAAGTTTGTATTACAATAAAATATATTCAAACAAGAAACTACTCATTCTAATAATTATCTGATCTCTTTCAAAATAAAAATGATCCATGAGTCCGGTGTCTTTTTACAAGGTTTTGTTGGTCAGAAGCATAGTTTGAAAAACATATTTTTATCTCACAATCTATATTTGTATATTTTTGGGATATTTACTGTAAATTAATTGTGGTGAAACCAAACCTTTGTGATAGTATTCTGTGCCTTTAAGCTTTTGTATTTCTATATGTTTTGCATTTCTTCACTGCCTTGTACATGTATCAAATTCAAACCTGGTGATTGATACTGGCACCTGGACTCATTTGATAATTATAAATAGAACACATTTAACAGTTACACATTACAGGGTTAGATTGTATAGTTATGACTCTTTAAAAATTCTACAATGCTTTTGAAATGTATCAAGTTTTACCCTGGAAAGTGATACAGGCATCTTGAATTTTTTTCCTTTTACTAACGATTAAAACAAATTTGATGATTGCAAAACAGGGTTAGAATGTATAGTTATGACTCTTTGTAATCTTCCAAGTTAATATTAAGTGTGCAAATGATAAATTTGAATGAGATGTGTTTGAGTGATTATATTTGTTAAGAATATATTATTTGTTGGTTTGTTATATTTATTTATGTAGAGATTTTTTCTTATACAAAACGGCTTCTTCCTTTTATGTCCCATCATGAATTTTCTATTTTTACACGTTACTATGCTATATCTTTATATTTATAATAGTAGCTTTTTGATTATATGATTATAAAAAGATCATCACGAAAGAAATACATTTATTGGATATGCCTTGCTTTCAATAAATATGCTAGCTTATAAGAAAAATTAAGAACTTAAATTTTTGTTTCCAGATGCTAATTTTTACACATTTTTATAAAAAATGGTCAACAATAAAAATTTACTTTCATCAACTATTTATTAAAAAATTTAGCTTTTAAAAAGTGAATTTTTGAGTTTAATTAAATTGGCGAAAAAATAAAATGTGCAGTGATGAAATTGTATAAATTAAGCTAAAGAAATATGATTGAATTAGTTGTAAAGCAATCAGTGTACACTTCTAAGTGCTTTATCAGTAACTTATCCGAACATACAATAACTAGGTCATAAAGATCTTTCTTCTGAAGTCAGTAAATCATCCTTTTGAATGTCTCATGATCTCCAGATATTTGCATGTGCTGGATGATAGTTAGGTGCATTTTTAAATATTTCAGTTCAAAGCTTAGTACATGTATTAATTATGATATTGATTAACTTAGAAAAGACTGATATCATGGGATGTGACTATTCTAGACAGTGTAAGAAGTATATTATATAAGATATGGAAACACAAGGTACAAAAGAGTGGCACATCAGAGAAGATGTGGCTGTACATTTGGTTATTTGTATCAGTAATATATCACAGTAACCTACTTAAGTATAAGGATATTGTTATTGGCTTGTAGTACTTAATGAATATTTAATGTACATGTATACCATAACGAACAAAAGAATTTAATTCTGATAATCATTGTATAACCCTGCAATGTATATTATAGTGGTGTTAGGAATGTTGAGAAATAAACTTGTTCTTAAGTAAAATTGCTTTCTTTTAATGAAACCTTAACCAAAGGGTAGATTTAACATAAGTTTGGCTAAATTGTGTTCCATTGGACAGTGAGAAGGTTCTTTTGAATTATAAACAGTCATGTGTGCTCAGATTTGTAATTTTAAATCCAAGGCAGGTATTGAGAAAATCCCATGTTCTAAGAACATAAAAAAAAACCTTTAACTCTTCAAATATCATAAAATATCTTGTTATCCAGTTGCAGTTAGAATACTTGACTTCTCTTTTGCCCTGTCCTTAACTTTTTGAAATATTACCAATGAAAAAAAGATTGACAACATCCATTCTCCTAGTGTGCTGTATTGTTACTGAATATGCATGAAATGTTTGCTTCTGATTATTATACAGCAAACAATTATATTCTATCTAATGATACGTTTAAATGAATACTGGAATATAAAACTTGAGGCTTTAAAATTTTGCAATTTAGCTGGAAAAATCATAAGTACAATTGCATCTTAATAGGGTTTTTCCATCAGGAATGTCGAACTAAACAATTGAAAGCCAAGGATGTATGAATACATAGAAATGTTAGGAGCTAAGTGACCAAAAGGGACATAAAATAAATATATATTTATACAAGTACAAAATGATGAAGTATATAGATTTATCCAAGTCTGTCTGTTAGCAGATTTCTCAGAACCACTTGATATAAAAAGCTTCTTGGAAATAATCACAAGGGTTACTATAGAGAATTGCCAGAGTTGCCCAAGTCCTTTAACCAAGTGGTTTCGGTTGCTATACAAAAGCAATCTGATACTTCTTGTAAAAAAGTACTAGGCCCATATTGATCAAAGTTTGCAATACTTTAATTCCGCGTTTTCCGCGACTTCATTTTGCACACAAAAGTCGTGATAAGTCAGAAATGTATACAGTGTTGGGATCAATACAACGTTGTCTACATGAAAACATCAAATTATCTTTCTATCTATCAAATAGCTTCACTGTGGAAAGAGCAGTTGGAAAAAAGTAAACACAATCTTCAACTGGATGACCACAGCTGCAATCGGGATTTGGTTTAATCAGAGCTGCATTTAGAGAAATGCATATATTTAAAAAATGTAGAAACATAAGGGACTAAGTGACCGAAAGTGACATAAAAAGAATAGCCACATTCATATAAGGTCAACATTACATGTGAGATTTGGAACCTTAGTTTCCTGGTAATATCTTAATTTATGAATGGGGAATCGAAAAAAAAGTATGTTATAAATCATGGCAGTACCGAAGCACTAATAACCAAGCTGGTGATACTCTAGAAGACTCCCAGTCCACCAGCAGTGATATTTACCTAGTACTAGTAAATAAAAAAAAAAATAGCACTTTATAGATGTCGTGCGTCCGAAGCGCTTTTCCGGATAACAAACTCTCAAACCTAAATATTTGAAAGCCAAGGATGTATAAAAACACAGAAACGTTAGGAACTAAGTGGCCAAAATTAAGGGACCCAAAATGAAAAGCTTAATCACTTAATTGCAACTTTGCTCGAGGAGTATAATTTCTTAATTTACGAATTAACGAAAAGTATGTTATAATTCATGTCAGTACCGACCCACTGAATATTCGAGCTCATTATGAATAGAATTTAAGTAGACAACATGAGTCTTTTGTATTCCAGTTTTATTTTTAGCGTGTTTTGATGATTCCAAGATTCCATGGGCTCGTTATCTTTCACGCTTCTAAAACATTTTGCATCGGCGTTGATCATCGTTTGAACTGCATTAAAGACGCCATTTTGAATTTCAATAGGCGCATGCTTTCCGTGAAACAAGAAAGTAAATATATCTATCGAATGCCAGGAAGTCTGGTTTGATTCGAGCGATACTGATGAGTCATTTGCGTCTGGTTCAAAATTTTAATATTTTCAGTCAAACTTTCTAAAATAAATTATGGCGAAAGTGACTTGCAACTGGCTTTGTTGTTTCAGAGGAAATTAGATTAAACTGAATGACAACGACAATTGTCAATTTGAAAACAATTTACAAGGAAGGTTACGACTTGTGTTTGTACTCACATGAAGGAGAATTCATACAGAACCTTCTAAAAACAAAACGAAAAAGCATCTTGAAATGTTCTTTAATTTCTCTTTCCGATATACTTATGATGTTCTGTCCCTCAATACGCAGATTAAGGGATACTACCGCAAGTAGAAGAAACCAAGCAGGAGGGTTGGCTAGCCATAAAACCAGGTTCAACCCACCATCTTAAAATGTCCTGTACTAAGTCATGAATATGACAGTTATCAAATAATCCGTTTCTATGTATGTTGGCGTTTGTTTTTGTAGCAGTTCAGTGTTTATGTTGTTCCGCTGTTTTCCTCTTATAGTTGATGTGTTTCCATCGGTTTCGGTTTGTGACCCGGATTTGTTTCAGTTAAATCGATCTATGACTATTGAAAAGCGGTATACTACTGTTGCCTTTATTCATATCTTGATTTTTTCCCTCGATAGTGACACTGACAAAGGTTAATAATTTACGAAGACAAATAACACTATTACACGTAATTAAGATGATAAACAACGTCAGTATCAAGAATCTATACTTCAAGACCATCATGTATTATTTGTGAAGTTGACACGGAATATCTATTAACAAGGTCTTGGTATCTTCAACTCACTAAGACATCTTAGATCTTTAGGTGCCAGTTTAGTCGTTTGATCTGTAATTTTAATATTTTATGTCTACTTGTGTGCGGATTTCAAACGCGCGATTTTACGCCAGTACTTAAAACCTTCCATCCTTTATGGGTGGATTTTACATAGATAAATAAAATCGTATAATAAAAAAACTAAATGAGGATGTTAAATTTGATGTATGCCTTTTTGTGCTTCTTCGTTACATTTGTTTGTTTTTATAGTGATTAAGATGATAACACAATGTTGACTGCTGTACCCCTATTTTTGACATTTTTACCTATTGTGTCTGTTGGTTTTGTTCACGCATCGTTGTCAATATAATGGAATTTGATGCGACTGTCATACAAGTGAGAGGTTTAGCTAGCTATAAAACCAGGTTCAATCCACCATTTTCTACATAAGAAAATGCCTGTACCAAGTCAAGTATATGACAGTTGTTATCCATCCATTTGATGTGTTTGAGCTTTTGATTTTGCCATTTGATTTGGGACTTTCCTTTTTGAATTTTCCTCGGAGTTCAGTATTTTTGTGATTTTACTTTTTACCGATTATGACATTTTGACCGAGTGGAAATCCGCATTGCGCGTAATGTATACACGAGTCATGAACAACAGGAGACGTTTACTCTGTCGACGCACCCGGTGTTGCTCCTTTTGGAGTTCACGCGATTACCTTAATTTTTTTTATTTGTTAACTTGAAATATCAAGATTTGAACATCGATTCACTAATGTTTCCTTAATTAACATCTTTTCTTAAAGGAGACTATTTTCAAACATTTGATTTTTTTATAAACATTGCAAGTTACATGTAATAATATCAACAGAAAAAACAACAACAAAAGAATGATTAAAAATGGGAAAATATATGAAAAATTGAAAACAAAAATCAAAATATATTTTTCTCACTGGTATTACTACTATTTTCCTGTTTAAAGTAAATGTTATACTCCCCTAATGTTACGTGGTTTTGTGTCTTCCAAACTCTATTATTTCCTAGATGTTAATTTTGAGTGTTCAGTATGAACGTTACTGTGAAAATCTTTCAGATCTAGCACATTTTCCGTAACTTTTGATTATACCGTCTGTACTATGTAACTCTTTTATATGTCCCCATACTATCCATTGTCTGTCTCAGTTCTATCATATCTTTCAATGCTTTCTTTTAATTTCCAACAAATTGTCTTGACATGACTGAACTTATAATTTCATCTTCGATTCTTGGTACTCTTGGTGAATTGTTCGACCTCAAAATCTGCCTACAGCCTACACAAGAACATTGAAAGATTTTCAATCAATGATATATTATTTGTAAACCTCAATTGGTTATGTTCAATTGATATCGCTTTAATTCATATTGTTTTAGCTTAGGATAATTGGTAACTGAGCAAAAATGAATGGGTATAAATAACCAATTATGTGCGTATAACCAGTATAGCAACTTGTATTTGTTCGAAAACACATTGAAAAGAGTTTGTACAAAACATAGGAAGGCGTTGATTTCCTTGTAATCATTTGTGTAATAATCCATCTTCACGTTTTATGATGTAGTTAATTATCTTTTTATAAAATGTTATGTTGCACTCTTGTATGCAGTTCGTTAATATACGATCACATACATATATCTTGTTATATATAAAGCCAACAGTAGTATATCGCTGACCATTTCTTAAAGATATCTTTCATCTATTCCACTGGACATCTCTTTACATTCTACAACGCAAAAAAAATGATGATAGTGATATGAACAATAATATCAGGATTGTGGTCTAATATAACAAATGAAATCAATGTACAATGTATTTCCTGTAAAACAGATATTGCGTTCCTGTTTTATTTTTTTGAAGTTTGGTGGCAATTAGCCTCAAGTTCTGGATGTCAATGGATAATATCCCTAGCTTTGTAACCCTTCCCCCCCAAAAAAAAATGCATTAGTGTCTCATTAAGGAGTAAGACAATATTGGTTGACTTGTAGTCAGAATAATGTGTAAGAGTGCAGTCTGTCTTTTTGCTTTTTTTTCTACCGACTTTGGAATGTACATCTATTGCAAAGCACGGTATATGTATGCATGTACTCATTTGATATTAACAGAATAAGCATGTAATATTTGTCACTATACATTAAACAGGCTCCAATCAATACGTAGGTAAGTTTATATACTCAAATTACCATAGACTTGAATGAAGGTTTGGACATTAAGACTGCCAGTGAAATAAGTATAACAAAAATACCGAACTCCAAGGCAAATTCAACAAGGGGAAGTCATTAAAAACTGACAAAATCAAATACTATTAATCATTAGAACAAGTGGAAAACAATAGCTAATATTCCTGACTTGGAACAGTCATTTCCAAAGAAAATGGTGGGTTAAACCTGGTTTTATAGCTAGCTAAACCTCCAACTTGTATGACCGTTGTTTACAGTTCCGTTATATTGACAACATTGGGCGAGCAACCAAAACAGACATAAAAGGTTAACGTGACCATATTTGGGATCCGGCAGCCAAAAAGGTGTAAATTTACATCACAGACATACAACAGAACTGACTTAAAAATTCAAAAAAACACAAATTATTCTAACAAAGACGCCAACAAAAAAGTTGTTGACGGACAATTTGACTATGACATCAACAAAAACGCTTTCACAACCCATCATAGAGGTGTTACAAAGGGTTTTATCTTCAAGAAAGAAGAACAAATAATTCTCTCTACATGAAGCATCGGATTAAACGTTTCCATGCCGACCGTATTTAACTTCGTATTTAGTTAGGGTTTCTATTCATAAAATAAACCAACCATATCTGTGAAATATTGAAAATTATAAAGATAAAAACTGTTCCAACTTACATTGTATTCTACAATTACTTCTTACCTATGCCCATGCAAAAAACCGCGACATTTTCTAACATAGCTAATTTTAATTTCTATCGTAATTGTATGAATTGTTGTGCAGTGGATAACAATGGAGGTGTGATATACGCCAATAAAACCACAGGTACAAGACTAGAATTTCTTAATATATGTGTATCAAATACAAATATAAATACTGAATCTACTCTATATACATATATCTCGTCTTGTACCTGTGAATAAAACGGAAACCCAACGACATAAAAAAAATAAATTAAAAAGTCAACATACGGTCATCAACAAAAGTCAGTTGCATACACAATGTTTGATCCTCTAAATAGCCCGAAATTTAAAACGATCGAAACAAATTAAGCAGAGACTGTCTTTAAATCCAAACTCTCCAAATGACAAAAACATTAAGATATCACAAATGTCACTAACGAGGTGAACCATGTTGGCTTCCGCTTATGAAGCAGGGGATTTATACTTATAAACTTTCCATTTTGGTGGATAATTTTCTCATTCACAGTTATCCAACACCTCATTATTTCTATATATTTGATAAGCATGTCATCATTTGATGCGCAATTTAATAAAGAGATACATATGCTAATAATACAGTGAGTTAAAGAGAAAATTATGTACCTATTTGAATGTTTCCACATGGACGTAAGAATAAAAGAGAATTGTGTGTGTCGGTTTATATAAATTTTGATACATGGGGAAAGATTTAAGAGAAATCATGTGCTACTTGTTTCTTAAAATATTTTTGTATATTTAGGTAAACAACAATGTAATAATTTAACAATGATCATTAATATTATAACCAAATTACTTGAAAGTTGTCACTTGATATTTTTATTCAAAACTGGATTGCGGCTGTTGAGATTGCATATTATTATCTCATAGTTACCTTACATGGTTTGAGTTTTTACTTTCCTATGTAAGACATTTTAAAACTTTGAAAGTATTGCACATCAAAAATTAACGTTATATCATAGAACTACTAAATAAGCATTGTATATTGACCCCCTTCCCCTGAAATAAAACAAAACAAAACAAAAACATTTGGCTTTGTATTAGACAACCAATAAATATAGAAATAAGAAGATGTGGTATTATTGTCTACACACATTTTGATAGTAAGTCTTTTCCGTATAAATATTTCTAAGTTTTAATGTGGATTTGACATTCCCGCCAAAATGTTACAGAACAAAGGAAAGCATGCAGAACAAAGAAACTCAAGCTAGGGTTATCTGGCAGGGGTGATCCGACTCAGATCACCCCTTGCAGAACAAAGGAGCTGGGATGTAAAGAAAAAGAATCCACGGTAAATGAATAGGCTGACGTCACGACAATGGTTTAAACTGGTATATTTGATGAGTTTCTACAACCAATGGGTCGATGAATTGCTGGTGGATGTTTCGTCCCCTAGGGTATCACCAGCCAAGTAGTCAGCACTTCTGTTTCTGTTGAAATAAGATATCAATGTTACGGTCTTTTTCGGTAAATTTTCTTTTGAGAAAATGTTGAATTATTCAAAACAGTTTTTATCTAACCCCAGGCATATATATATATCCTTTGTCGTATTCGACTTTTTCTACATTTTTGGTTTTCAATGCTCTTCAACTTCGTACAGGACTTGGCCTACAACGTGTTTTGATTGAAGAGCCACGGCTGAGTCTTATGTGGAAGAATTGCGCCTCTTGCATAGCAAATTATAAGCTCGGTATATATGAGTTTAAAAAACCACTAGGTTGCTGCCACGGCTGGTAGACGTTTCTGTGTTTTTTTTTGTAATGTTTTATGAACTGTTGTTTGTCTGTTGGTTTTTTTTTGGCCATGTTGTTATCTGTTTTTCCTTAGTGTTTATTGCTCCCATTGTATCTTGATAATTTGGAAAAAAACTGAAACAAAATAAAATTAACTATCACAGTTCATCCAATTCCTCTGACAAAACTCTCGATTTATTGAAAGTCTATAACGATTCACAATATATGCAGAAAAATAAGGAACTTTTTTTTTTCAAATTTCTTGCTTTATCTCAAAATAAAGAATGTTTTCACCTTGAAAGAAGATATCAAACAAGATAAAATCTACTCGTCGTCATGTGATCTTATCAATACAAACACAAGACGATCACAACGTAAAAAAGGGTTAGCCAATCAAATGTATTCTCAACCAAAGATCTTGTATAAATTTAAAACAACAGCTAAAATAAGTTAATTTATTATCAACAAACTGAAGAAAAAGAATTGATGAAGAAAATGAATAGGATACATATAAACGCAATATTTCATAAATGTATGAGATTTGGAATAAATAAAGGTAAGGGCTATCAGGTCAAACATGAGGACTGTTTACGGAATTGTTTTTACATTTTAAAGCTGCCTGTATAAATTTGAAAGCAAACACTTACTTGAATGTGAACGTATGCTTCATCAACAGTTTTAAGTAATTACGTTAATGATACAAATGTTTTATATATGATAAGCAGTCAACACGAAATAGGCGTTTACATATTTATTTATTTTTCTATCTAGCTATTTACCCTAATTACTGTTTGTTTAAGGTTTGTCGACATCGACGTCAGCAACGATCACAAGAGCCACAGCAGAACCGAACATTCCAGAAATGAAAACCTCAGTTCCTGGTCCAAAATCTAAGGAACTAATCAGACAACTTGGAACCTTACAAGTAATAAAACTATTTTGATCCTTAGTTGTAGAAAATGACCTTTTCGTAAAATGACTTGAAGACATGTCCAGTAGGAATTTGCTGTGTCAAAGGAACTAACTTGCTTTTAATTTTTGATGAAGATAACTTATTGTTTTACTTTAAGTCCTAAAAGGTCATGTTCCAATGTAAGCTTTGCATTTTATATCAGACTATGATACCTAACCACAGGGGCGCATATCATAAATGTATTTGGGACGAAAATATATGCCAGTCGACTGGTGTAAACACAATGTAGAACGCATACCAGTCGACTGGCATATATTTCCGCCCCCAAAACATCTATAATACGCGCCCCTGTTACCCAACTTAGTCCTTGTAAGCACACGTCTGCTTCTATTTAATCCAAAGAGACGTCAAAGTATACTCAGGGACACATTAATAGTTATAAGTCGAACAAGGATAGGTAAAAGCATGATATCAAGGACATAAACAGCAAAGTAATATCGCGAAATATAACACGGAAAAAATATTGTGCTCAATACAAAGTGAAGCGCTTACACCATAGTATTTGGGTTTTCCATGATGGTTTTAAATTATGTTATGGCACAGGAATATATTTTGTTTGGATTTATAAGATCTGGTGATATATTATATGGTTTCAATTGTTGTATGATAAATGTATTGTATCATGTTAAATTTAACACAGAATTCAGACGCTGTACACTTCTTTGTCGACTATGACAAAAGCTATGGAAACTACATTGTAGATGTAGACGGAAATACAATGTTGGACCTGTTTACACAAATAGCGTCGCTGCCACTCGGTATGTTTATTGATTTAATGCTTTATTCATTTAATATGATGCTTTATTCATAATGCTAATTTATCTAATGTAATGCGTTAAATGTCAATAGAAAATAGCTTTCTCTCAAAAAGTATGAATTGTTCTCTTCATCAAATTGTTTCCTAGACGATGGAACATATTCTTCAAACATGTGTCTAGCTTCAAGACACGAAAGTACTTTTAAATAACGAATTACAATTTCTTTTTTTATTATTGTTTCTGTATCATTGTTTTAAAGTTAAAGAAGTTTTTATGACAATTTCTCTTGGTTACTTGTTTAGTTTCATGGAAGATTGTGATGCGGGCTGATAGTAGTTAACACATTTTTTGTCTCTTTTATGTCATTATCCCTTGCAAAAAATTTGCCGAGGGGGTATTGTAACGGGATCGTCCGTGCGTCTGTCCGTAACACACTTGTAGACACTATAAAGTTTGTGTTTTTTAGCCGATCTATACTACACTTAGTAACACATTCAGTAAAGGAGGACTAGAAGCTTATTTATTTTTAAGGTCAAAGGTTGCGGTCACATCAAATCAAAACAAAAGGGCATTATTATACTTGGAACTTTTTCTCTTAAGAGATAAAGTACCAGTATACCCACATCTCCCCCATATAGAAACACCATTGACATATCAGATCAACCGTAAGCCGGACAATTTGAAGAGGAAATGTCGAAAATTTAACTGTAATGTTGCGAAATACAGAACTCTATTTGAATATCTAATTGGTGAATTAAATACTATAAAGTTGTGGGTACATTATGAAGACATCCTAGTCCAAAGTTAACGCGTGTCTGGCGTACAAAATTTTAATCCTGGTATCTATGATGAGTTTATATACATTTTAGAGACATTTGACGACTTATCAATATACGTTATTAATTGACTATTGAACAGCGGTATACTACTGTTGCCTGTATACATTATATGATTAAACCTTAGCTACTGAAGTACATTTTTGTTCATCATCCCAATTTTATCAAGGAGATAAGAGCTGAACAAGATGCCTCGCTTTTCTTCAAATTTATTTCAAAAATAAAAGTATATAAAATCAACAAATGCTTTACAACCAAAACAAGAAAAGACGTTGGTGTGGTAAATATAATTAGAAACATATGGTATGTATATGTCTCTGGTAAAATACACATACAAACCAAAATTTTCCCGATAAACTACTAGGTATATTCATACACGATCCTTACCAGTTTTGAGAAGATCGCTGACATTTTGGTACCTCCCGGTGTCGTTGTTAGTCGTGGTTCTAGACAGTTATAGAACATGTCTAGTAGTTAAATGACATACTATTTCAATGCGATCCATTACGTGTACTTTTATGTCTGTGATTCATCAAAAATTAAAAGATAGATGGTTTTATGTAAGCGGGTGATAGATTGAATAACATCATGTTGAAATACCTTGTTGATAACTTCAAGATTTATGTATTTTTAAGGTTACAACCACCCGTCAATGTTAGAAAGCATACAGAATCCAGATAATATTGTAAGTTTTTTTACTTACTCAATTGAAATAAGATCACCAAATTTAAACAGTGAAAGAGAACTAGACATGTAGAATGAAACCAAAGTAAAACCAAACAATTAATGCATTTAAAATGATATCTGATAAGTTATTATGAAATTAGAATAAAGTTCAAATACCGATATATAAAATGACAGAAACGATTTGTCCTGATTTTTTGCAAGAATAGACTTCATTTAAAAAGCTGTTATCATTACCCTTTTATAATTTGAAACAAGTTTTTATTTAAGTTGAGATAAATTTTGCAGAACTTAACTACAGTCAAGTCTTTCTTCTCGTGTGTCGCTTATTTTTGTACAGAAACCGGTAAAGGACATGTGGGAGTAGTACCTCTTTAAAGTTTAAAACAATATTATGTCAGCGAAAAATACAGTATAGAATATTGTAATACTTTCATATATCGTTTTCTTATTTAGTATGCATTCCTTAACAGACCAGCTTTAGGATTTTACCCGCCAGGTGACTGGGTGACAAGGCTTCGTTCATCGTTACTTCAAGTGAGTCAAATTGTCAACGTATATTTGTTCCGCCTAACAGAAGTTCCACTGGAAACTTTGTTATAAACAATGTCATAATATCTGTTCCTGTTGGAACAAATATTCTATACCATTTATTCCGTTAGGAACATTTACTGTAATATTTATTCCAGTGGAAATAATATTCCAGAATATTTTTTCCATTTGGAACTTATATTATGAAGGAACTTCTATTCCAAAATCATAATACATACAAATTTATGTTTCGCTTTATTACTCCTGAAGCATATTATCTTAGGTTTTTTTGGTGCACATCCAAACAGGAAAATAGACACATGAACTATGATATGACGCCTAATTTTGGCCCTTTTGTTTTGAAACGCACGTATGGTGTACTAAAATATAAACCTGATTACTTGAACATAGTTTACCAATGTGACGCATATTCAACCGTGTTAACATAAACATAAACATAACCCTTTTTACCTCTCAATATCTTTAAGGTTTAATTAGTGCCTGATAAACGTATATTTCTCAATTCTTTTATTTTTAATATACTAGATACACGGAACCCACCAATATCTATTAGTAATGTTCTTGAAATGTAATACGCATTCTTATTCATTCCAGGTTGCACCACCCGGACTTTCGGAAGTAATGACAATGGCTTGTGGATCATGCGCAATTGAAAACGGACTAAAAGCAATGTTTATTTCACATCAGGTATTTTGAAGCATATACAGAGTTTTATTTATAACATATTTTATTGATAAAAATATCTTCTTCTGTAACAAAACTATTTGATCTGTTAGTATGATTCAAAATTTCTGATTTTGAATTCAAACACCATAAAAAAGGCAAAAGTAGTTTTAAACATATATTGAAAACTCTTAATGAATTTGAAATAGATAATGAAAAAAAGGCCAGAGTGAATACTAACGGATCGATATTATGTGCTACAATAAATTATCTTGAAAGGCCAGTTTAGACCGATCTGTCCTATAACTTTAAAATATTTTCAATATTCGTTTCATATCCATTTACGTCATTTAATTCTACAAGTGATCATGCATCCTTTTATTTAAATATCTTTTAAGATATCAGTTTAAAGTTTTACTGAATGAGGTCCGAAAGTGTTCAGAGCAAACCAAATTTATGTAGTGTCGACTATAACTGCACGTCATACATTTTACGCATTACTTGTAGGCGAAAATGCGAAATGGTCGACCACCTTCTCAAGAAGAACTGCAGTCATGCTTGATTAACCAGTATCCTGGTTGTCCTGATCTTACAGTTTTATCCTTTAAGAATGCACTGCATGGCAGAACAATGGGTAGTCTTTACTTTTTCTAATTTTAACAAATTCAGATAAATTATGCCTTCTCTCTCTATGTGCAAATATGTCACACCTGTCAATCAGCAAAGAGTACGAATGTCTGGATCAATAAGTTTTATGTTAACTGTGTGTTGTTTAGTGATCAGTTATGCTTAGTTTGGGTCTATTTATGTCAAAAACTATCACAGCTTACAAAGTTAGGTAGATAAATTCTAAGTATTATCATTGATAACCATATGTTACTGCAAAGTATCATAATTACTTCCATTTATTAGATTTCTTACGGCATAAGAGAAACATAATTCTTAATTTGGAAAAAAAAATCATCGATTAGATAGGTTTGCACTAGATGCTCCGAGCTCTAATGACATTTACCCAAAATAACTTTTCATTTGTGCTTACAAGAAAACAAACATAAGTCTTTACGTATTAAAGTTACAAAAAAGAACACACCCTAAATTTACTCCCCTCTCTATTTGAATGTGTATTTACTCATGCAAATGGTTATTATGTTGCGGTGATATAGAACTGGGGAAAACGACACCAGGGTACAATTGTTCAGTATCTGTACAAAGTAAAGCAAAAACTTAGACATAACGCATCTCTTTTTCTAATATATTATTGATCTCTTTTTACTAATATTGATTACATACCCATTTGAATAGGTGCAGCAGCAGTTTCACACAACAAATGGACACATAAATTAGATTTCCCAGCTCCAGAATGGCCAATAGCTTCTTTCCCAGACCTGAAGTACCCATTGGAAGAGAACGTTCGTGAAAATCAAGCTGAATCAAAAAGATGTTTAGAAGAGGTATTTATTTGCCAGATATGTAAGAATTGTGAATTGGACCTTATACAGATTTTCTTCCTGATCTGTAGTATTTATTAAGAGACATTATCATTGATAGATACAGTGAATGTCAAGGTTTTGCATAGTTAGATATTGCATTTGGTTTCTAATTGATTAAACAGCTTTCAAACTTATTCGTTCAGTGTATGTTTACTTGTTTTTGTTTAAATGTCTATTTGATTGAGTTAAGCAATTTCAAATGATATTTTATAGTGTGTCTATCTATGTTGTAATGTTACACTACTGTCGCAGGTTAGGGTGAAGGTTGGCGCCTATTAAAACGTTTAAACCCGCTGCATGTTTATGCACCTGTCCTTAGTCAGGAGCCTGTTTGTCAGTGGTTGTCGTTTGTTTATGTGGTTCATAGGTGTTTCTCGTTTCTCGTTTTTTATAGTCATACTTCAGAGTTCAGAACCTTTACCTAGTGAGGTAGGTGGTTATAACTCAGTATTACTATTTATTTTTTGTATGCAAAGGAATACCCCTTAAAATGTAACCACTCTTAAATTTCTAATTGGCATTATAAAGGTTGAAGATTTGATTGACATTTGGAACAAGAAAAACAGGCCAGTTGTAGGAATTATAACAGAACCTATCCAGGCAGAAGGAGGAGACATTTTCGCTCTTCCTGAATTTTTCCAAGGGCTCCAAAAAATATGTTTCAAGGTAAATATCTTTTTTTGTCTGATTTGATTGATATCAAAGAGGTGAAAGCTTAGATTTTAATCAATTAAAGACTTTGAAACTTCGCTGAAAAAATGCTAAATCATTTGAACATCAAATGAACAATACATATGACTTAATAAATATCAGATAGATTATTTCATAAAATATACTGTAGGATATGTGATAAACCAATAACGATTTGCATACAAATCAAAATATGGAAATAAAGCACTAAAAACCAAACAATCACAGACCTTTGATTTAGACTACGATGTATTGTACAGTCCGTACAATTTTCAACAAACTTCGGCATCTGATGACATTTGGTTTCTCCGGATCTACCAAAAGAGGGACGAAAGATACCAGAGGGATAGTCAAACTCATAGATCGAAAACAAACTGACAACGCCATGGCCAAAAATAAAAAGACAAACAGACAACAGATTTTCATTTATTGCCATCAAATTTACAACAGTTTAATTAATCAGTAAACTCTTCATTTATAGGGAACATTCTATCTAATGACAGAACATCGGAGCTAACATGGTTTAAATAATACTTTTGGCAATTTTTTTCATTTATGAATATTGATGTTGCACCTTAGGTTAAATCTCCACAGGTAAAGTTGACATCAGTTATATTTTGGTGTTTTGTTTATTTATTTGTCTTTATTGTGATGCTATTTTAAATGTTTTGGGTATTCGGCTTCTTAATTTAGAAGTAGCTCAACGCTCTTTTGCTGGCATGACATAACAATGATGCCGTCATTTCTGTGATTAACTGTTTACATAATAGAAAAACCGTTCGAAACAAGATGTTTTTAATGCCACTAGGTAGAGATAGCCTTTACCAGATTTGCTCAACCCAAACGTGCTGATCTTCATATTATATTTTACCTACCATTTTTTTTTATTGGAGCGCCACTTAGCGTACCTAAGAAAGTTTACTTCAGAGCAATGAAATCCGTAATGGCTTTTTTTCAATTTTTATGATAGTAAGACGTTTTTCACCAGTTCATGGTTTGAAATAATTACATTTTAGAACGATATTTGTTTCCAAATGGACGAAGTACAAACTGGATGTGGAGTAACTGGCAAAATGTGGGCACATGAGCACTTCAATCTGCCACAACCTCCCGACATAGTATCATTTAGTAAGAAAATGTTGACTGGCGGATTCTACTATAACTCAAAGTTTAGACCTAATGAGGTAAATTAATGTAAACTACTAAGTATGATTTAAAAAAAGAAGAACGATTTTTCTGACGATAGGTATTCTTTAATGTAAAAATCATTAAACTCTTTTAGTCAATTTATATTAATAAATTTATGAAAATCTGTCAAAAATCCCTAGTTTTTACTCTTTATAAGCTTCAAGAGTAAAGTTGAGAATAGGAGTTTTGTCGGCCTAGATTATGTCGTGAAAAATACAATAAAAAAATGAAAGAGTTCAGAAACAAGAAGAGGAACACTATCTTGTACAAAGAAATTAGACTCCTAATTATTTGAAAAGCAAGGTCAAAATTTACTGCAGAAAACAAGCTAAGTTAACACCATGTTGTTTTAATATTGCCTCAAGAAAAAACGAAGAAACAACGAGAAACAACAGGTTTCATGTAGCCTTATTAGATAAAAACAAATGTAATCAACAGTATTTGAGAGAGGCCAATAAGGATAGAAAATGTAAAGACCATCAAAAGATGGTACCATTTTCACTGAATTAGTTTATTACGCCTGTGCCATTGTTGTTGAATGATGTTAGAACTATATACACAGAATACTTATAAATAAACTCATCATAGATACCACGATTTAAATTTTGTACACCAGACATGCGTTTCGTCTACAAAAGACTCATCAGTGACGGTCGAATAAAAAAAGTTAAAAAGGTCAGTTAAAGTGCAAAGTAAAAAAGCATTGGGGTCCCAAAATTTCGAAAGGTTTTGCCAAACCAGGTAAGGTAATCTATTCCTGGGGTATAAAACCCTTAGCATTTCGTATGCGATAAAGTATAAGCATTAGATACACCCATAAAGGAGTTATTTAAACAAGGATAGCACGGTTTATGCTAAAGGATATAAATAATTAAGGAGGGGGTCTTTCCACAATTTGATCTGTTTTTAAGGCAAAGCATGATAAATGAAAGGGGGACGAAAGATACCAGAGGGACAGTCAAACTCATAGATCGAAATGATATTGAATTACATCTAATGACATCTTGGTGTAAATATTGATGGAAGGTATTGTCTGCAAAAACTGTATATAATTATTTTAAATCAGTGTCCGTAGAGCAGTCTCATACTTTACATTTTATGTTTTTCTTCTTCATTCACTGAAGCTGATAGCTGTATTTGTTTATTGTAATGTTTATTTTAGGTTTGATACTTTCCAATCTACACAGAGACATAAAGGAGGTAAAACATAAGCAACACTGAAATATATCAAATATTTTGATTTTCACCATTCTATTGAAAATAATTTATGTTTAATAGATCTTTTTTTAAATTTTTGTTAGCTTTTGATCTTGCAGTTGTTTGTTTACTAAGTTTCGTAAAGTATTTCTCATAACAAATATACTAGGATTCATCTTAAATCTATACGAGGAAGTTCAGGACAATACAGACAAAAATATATGCGCATAATTTCTAGAAATGCACCCCATGGACCTAGAAATGTAATTGGAAGGAGTTAAAAAAAACAATGATAAACTTGACAAAGTTTGATGTACTTCTTGGTTTTGCACATTAACCAAAACAAAAATGAAGATATAATTGAATGGTTGAATATGCAATGTAGTCTTGCATGGTTTTCACTGATTCTATGCATCCTTTTGATATCTGATTGTAGTCCTTCCGAAATCTACACTGATATTATTTTGGAACTGAATTTAGATATGACGATGTCTTTTCTACGAATTTTCATAATCAGTAGTTATAGAATTGATACAGTAATTTTTATTTTTCTTACTGACGGAAAATGATCCTTGACTGTTTCATGCAAACTATTTTTTGTTTTCGTCATGTCAATCATATTGGATTGATTTTCAGTATGTAGTTTTCAAACAATTACTTAAACTTCTGGGCATGCTTTTCATTAAGGTTGACAAATTAACATTAATTCTACTATTTTAACATCGTTTCTACTATTTTACACTCGGAAACGAGAAAAAAATTTGGTTGGTCTCAACTTTTGTTATATCTTCCGATACTATAGGCGATTCAAAAAATATTTCTGTGGCAGTTTCTACCGACCATGTGTTACGTTTACGGTTTAGATATTTGATTTAATTACAGTCTTTGCAGGAGGAGATTTCTATATCGGCACATCTGTCCCCCAACATAATCAACTTTAAGATAACAAGTCTTTGTAATTCATTTGCCACTTTTAATGGATTTCGGAATCGTTGTCTACGGATAACAATGTTTTCATTTCATAGCACCTTGTTCTTTTTTCATAATTTTCATTATATGGTCCTTGTTATATTAGTTGAACCAATATTTGACTCATTGTTTTTCGTAGGGATTTCGAATTTTCAATACATGGATTGGTGATCCATCAAAAATAATCCTCCTTGAAGCCGTTGTCAAAGTTATAAAAGAGGAACATCTTATGACAAATGTTAATAAAACAGGCAAACACTTCTTTGATGGACTGTATGACTTGCAGGTAAGATAATAAATTAATCATAAAACTGACCCCTCTTACCAACAAACATAACAGACTTCAAACAGTTGTTTTTTGTGCTATCCAAGACCACAAACACAAAGAATGTTTCATTGTGTATTACCGTTTTATACATACTAAATAGTAAAACAATGTATCTCTTCCACATACTTACACTGATGTTCATAAGTAGACTTTTGTGTATAGCCATGTGTTTAGTAATAAACGTTGGAAATATTTGATTAACATGTAGCTTTGAAACCTCATTTTCTTTGCAAAAAAGTACAATTTCTTATTTTATCTTTACGAATCCAGGACCATGTTTACTTTAATCCTTTTCCAAAGATTAGCTTAATTGTATGATATGCATATTCATCCACTGGCATCCAATGCAATGGACATGTAATAATTGCGAGGCAAAATGCATACGGATTGTAGTCGATTGCAAAATTGCATAGACACAGGTCAATTTAACTGTTAACAGTTGTCGAAAGAGCTTTGAGAAAAATCTAGTTTGCAATTTAGTATTTGTGGTAAGCAATAGTATTACAACGAAAAGAAATGGAAAAATACAACCAAAAATAAGGACAAAATGACACAATTTCGTATTTATTTCAAGTCTGATATATATACAATGTATATAGCAAACCAATTGGTTTTCAACATCACCAATAATATGCATTTTGTAGGCATGTAAAATGTTGTTAACAGAAATTAAACAAAATATATTGGAAAACGATAGTTCATTTTTCAAATCTAGCAATTAAAAGCTTTACAATACTATCTTTAATTTGACAATGTTACAAATCTACATGTCATTTCATTGATATTGTCTTTAAATTTAAACGTTTATTTCAGGACAAGTATCCAAATATTCTTAGTAAAGTTCGAGGACTCGGTTTATATGGAGCTGTGGATTTTCCAGATCAGAAAACACGTGACATCGTAATGTCTAAGCTTCGAGAGAAAGGTAATGAAGCATTTATTTTAGATATTTGTATAAATTGCATTATCTTATTCAATCCATATGTAGAATAATGTCATGCTGTTCTTTTTCGATTGAGAATTTTAAATGTGTCCCCTTAGTACTAATTATAGCAGGTGAACTAAATTGATCCGTAACTTACAATATAAAGGAACTGTAAACAACTGTCATATAAGTGGGAGGTGTAGCTTTTAAACCAGGTTTAACCCATCATTTTCTTCGGAAAATGTCTGTCCGAAGCCAGGAATATGAAACTTGTTGTCCCTTCGTTCCGTTGGTTGATAAGTCTTACGTTTGATTTGCTCAAGGTTTCATAGACTTCACCCTTTTTTAACTTATCTTTGAGTTCGTTATTTTTATAAATACTTTTTTTACAATTATAGCTCAATGCATACAAGACCACGATGACATTTAAAGTAAAAATGACCGTAATTGTATCTTTAAACGCCAAACTATATTGTATATTGTATACGCAGCAATTACTTTCCAAAAAAAATAATACAGAATCTTTCATTAGGCACTGTTTTGAAAGTCTAGCACACAGTGAACAAAGATCAAAAATATCACGAAGAAAAAAATAAGAAAGGAGTGTAGTTTGTATTTTACATTAAGAGAAAAATCTTTTTAAATTGTGTTCTTATATTGACATACATTTTTGTGTAATTCCATACCATTAGAAAAAGTCTGTCACGTGAAATTGAAGAAAACGCTAGAATTCACATTCTGATATAATATTAATGTCCTTTCACTGAATCGTTTCAAAGGAGTTACTATTTTGTTTCAATTTATCCTATTGAACTTGAAAAACAGAGATTATACGTATGGATCACTTATTATGCTATATGCAACTTAAAACATTTACAATAACAAGTCTTTTACATGTAGAGTTCCCATACATAGTTTTCTATCGATAGTACACAGACATAGAAATGCTTCGTCAAAAATGCTTTAACTTCAATAACTATGAAATAACATTAACAGTACCAAATTTACTGCACAAGATGCGCATTTCTCATTGCCATCAAAATGTCCAATATTTGAAAGTTAGTTAATTTACATTTCATGAAATTGAATGAATTCAATCATATGTTATTATTCGATAAGCCGCTCTATTATTGGATATCATAAAAAAAATATATGCAAACAAGGCAGACAATGATTAACTGCAATCAGAAGTAATGAAATTTGTTCCTAAGATTTAGAACAGGTTATTAGATTCAATTGTTTATTCTATTTACTTAATAATAAGTCAACAGCATAAACTGTTTACACTTCGTCAAATTATCACTCATATATTAACGAATCCAATTATTGTTTTTAGGAATTCACACAGGTGGTTGTGGTAGTAAAACAATACGATTTAGACCAACTCTGACTTTGAAAAAACATCATGCAGATATTTTCCTCGACAGATTTAATTTAGTGTTAGGAGAATTATCAGTTGACACTAAGGACAGACAGTTCCAAGCTGTTTCTTAACATTTTCTGTCATTTTGGAATTTTTGAAAATAAGGCTCATTAAGCTCAATAGAAAGAAGGAATCAGTTTTTGCTTTTAAATGCAGAGGTGATAGAGCAGATGCATGGCAAAAAGGACACAACTTCCTGAGGTAGAAGTGGAGCTATGGTTTTGATCCCATACTTTTTGGACAAACATTTTCATACTTGAACTTGCTTTCGAAAAAAAAATTCCTCAATTCAGAAACAAACAAACAACTGCATTTATTACGTTTTAGGAATATTTTATTCACATACAAATCTACTTAACCCTTAATAATGTACCTATCTCCCACACAGATGCGTGTTCGGCCACCTATTTATAGATTGGCAATACGCGAATGAATTATTATGATTTTTATTGTTGAATCGATTGTATGTATTACCAAATATCTTAAATGGTGCTTTTGTACAACTATCAAATTTTAGCCTACGATTGGATGTTCACAAAGTTAATTTTTGTTATTCGTAAATGTACATTTCTAGACAATCGTAATTCACCACAGAATTAGCTTTCGTATTAATTCAAAAGGAATACAAACCAAATTAAAATTATATATCGTGTATTAATTGTCCGTTAATAAATTTTGAAATTATAAAGAAACTAAGGTTTCAACTCCCTCAGGCAAATTTGACCTTAGATGAATTTGGCTATTTATTTTATGTGTTTTTGTCATATAGCTCTTCAACTGTTTCGGTACTTATACATCCCTCGGATTTCAAATGTTTGGCTTTGAGCGTTCCTGATGAAGGTAAATCCAGAAAAGCGCTTCGGACGCATAAAATTTTTTCACGTGTTGTTTTCCATTTTTATAGATATAAGTATTTAGAATTTATTCAAGTTTTCCATGATCTTTCAGAAGATGTATGTTTTGATAGTTCCAACTTCACATTCTGTAGCCTCAGACTAGCGTTTTTGTTTCCAAGATAATAAGATATATTTAAGGAATGACTGTAATATTTTTTCTGTCTATGAAGAATTAACATAAAAATTGTGGTAGCGGGTTATTTAAAAGTGTGCACCACATTTTTGATTTTATTTCGAATAAATAGAGAAAATATTTCAGTCATTCCTTATAATTCAATTCTAAATTCCATTTTTAAGGAGTAAATCATGAAAAAACGTTGATGACGTCACGGTAACATGACAAAATTATGTCTATGAGCTGATAGACAAAAAACTTTCAGCCAAGAAAAATTTCCATCCAAAATTAAATTATATATATATATAGCATGTCATTGTGACTATTTCATAAATAATGGTTTATTGTTAAATCAAAAGAAGTCATATAGATAAACAACTGAAATTTCACAACGAATTTGATGATCTTTAAAGTGTCCCAGCCTTCTACATATTTGTTTATTCTGTATAGGTTTTGATTATTGTTGAAGGTGACCCCTATAGTTCAGTAAATTAACGTCATTTAGTAGATAGGTGTCTAATTCGCAATACCACCACATCTCGTTTATTTATTTTGTACATTGGGTTTATGTAATACTTAATCTTGATAAGAGGAAGACACCAGTATTATCACCATGATGTTATTAACCACTATCATAATAACATCAAGGTTATTTCTTATCCTATACAGATTACTATGCAGGTATGTGTATGCATAAGTTATCAGTGTAAACAGCTTTTGTTTAAAAACAGGGGAAATATCGATAGGTAAAATCATAAATTATTTAGATATGGACATAAAGCAAGATACTAGCAGATATGATGTTATGATATTGATATTGTACAAATAAAATATGTATTCGGTAGACACAATGTTATCCATTATGTTATGTTTACAATCACGGTGTTGCCTTGACTTTTCGATGAAGCAATTTTACAAAACTTGATACAAGTACCCGATCAAAAAGAAAAAAAAAGGTTTGAAATAGGGTTCAAAACCGTTTAGCATTGGACTTATCGTCTCAGTACAAAAAAATCTGACAAACGAGACGATTTTAATTTTGAAATTATAAATTTCCGATACCTTAGCAGCAGTATACCAACTTCCCCTGCATATGGGATATACATTTCCCAACTCATTCGGTATTCAAGAGCTTACAGCTGCTACTAAGACATTGTAAAACATCACCTGAGTCTGAGCAGAATGTTGATGAACCAGGGTTATGTCAACGAACGTCTCGTCCTTTTTTTAAAGTTCTTTCGAAGATACCAAGACATTGTTGATAAATATTTCGTATCAACTTCACAAATAATACATGATGGTCTTGACGTATAGATTCTAGGTACTGACGTTGTTCATCATTTTAATTTCGTGTTATAGTGTTCTTTTTATTGGCTTTGTATATTTTAACCTTTACTGTTTAGTCATTTTTTGGTAATATCATTTTGGCGTGGCTCAGTATTTATACATCCCGACATTGTGTAATTGTGATACGGTAATTTTTTGTATTCTTGTCTTTCATTTTTGCTTATGTGCTCTGTCTATAGAGTGTCTCTTTGCCATTTTGTTTTTTTTTGTTGACATGGTTGTTTGTTTTTGTAGTGACTTCTGTACCCCAATTTTTGACATTTTGTACCTATCATGTCTGGTTTTTTTGGCTCACACATTGTTGTCAATATATTGGAATTCTATGCCACTGTAATAGAAGTGAGACATTTAGCTAGCTATTATCGACCATTTTATACATAAGAAAATGCTTGTACCAAGTCAGGAATATGATACTTGTTTTCCATTCGTTTGATGTGTTTGAGCTTTTGATTTTGCCATTTAATTAGTTTTCCGTTTTGAATTTTCCTTGGTGTTCGATATTTTTGTTATTTTTTCTTTTTTATATGATAGTTAAAACAGGACTGTTGCAATGGTTAAGTGTACCGCGACTTGTCGCTTTTACATCTTTCATGGGATAAATTTCACTGAAATTTAAACTTTTAATTCAATATTTTCATTCAAGTCTATTTAGAGATAGGGTTATATTAAATCAAAAACAATCGGATTAGGGTTCATGATAGTTATCAAAGGTACCAGGATTATAATTCAATACGCCAGACGCGCGTTTCGTCTACATAAGAGTGATCAGTGACGCTTAGATCAAAATAGTTATAAAGCCAAACAAGTACAAAGTTGAAGAGCATTGAGGATCCAAAATTCCAAAAAGTTGTGCTAAATACGGCTAAGGTAATCTATTCCTGGGATAAGAAAATCCTTAGTTTTTCGAAAAATTCAAAGTTTTGTAACAGGAAATTTATAAAAATGACCATATAATTGATATTCATGTCAACACCGAAGTGCTGACTACTGGGCTGGTGATACCCTCGGGGACGAAACGTCCACCAGCAGTGGCATCAAACCAGTGGTGTAAATAGTTATCAAATATACCAGGATTATAATTTAATACGCCAGACACGCGTAACGTCCACATAAGAATAATCAGTGACGCTCAGATCAAAATAGTTATAAAGCCAAACAAGTACAAAGTTGAAGAGCATTGAGGACCCAAAATTCCAAAAAGTTGTGCCAAATACGGCTAAGGTAATCTATTTCTGGGATAAGAAAATCCTTAGTTTTTAGAAAAATTCAAAGTTTTGTAGCAGGAAATTTATAAAAATGACCATATAAATAAAGGCAACAGTAGTATACCGCTGTTCGAAATTCATAAATCGATTGAGAAAAAAACAAATCCGGGTTACAAACTAAAACTGAGGGAAACACATCAAATATAAGAGGAGAACTACGACATAACATAATAATGGCCATTTTCCTGACTTGGTACAGGACATTTTAAGAAAAAAATGGTGGGTTGAACCTTGTTTTGTGGCTAGCCAAACCTCCCGCTTTTACGGCAATGTTAATTATAACATTAAAATGACAACATTACATGTCAGGACTACAATACAAATAAATGGGAGAACATATAGGACAGAGAAACATACGAATAATAGCTAACAAAAGGTACCAGGTTTAAAATTTAATACGCAAGACGCGTGTTTCGTCCACACAAGACTAACCATTGACGCTCAGATAAAAAAAGTTCGAAAGCCAAAACAAGTACAAAGTTGAAGAGCATTGAGGACCAGACGTTCCAAAAAGTTGTGCCAAATACGGCTAAGGTTATATGTCTGGAATAAGAAAATCCTTAGTATTTAGAATAATTCATACTTTTGCAAACAGTAAATTTATAAAAATGACTATATTATAGATATACATGATAACACCGAAGTGGTGACTAACTACAGAATAAAAACGGATACATTAAACAACATAAACCAGCACATAAAAATCACAGCCGAGTTAGCCAAAGAGATCAACGCACAAAGTGACGTCACATTTGAATTTCTAAAAAAAATTCCCAAAATAGGATAGAATTAGGATAGAATTCAAGATTAGGTTTGTAATACTCATATAACATTTATTAATAACAATGAAAATTACAATACTAGTTAATATAAAATTGTGGTAGTAATTAGATAATTAATTGTATTATCTAGCTATGTCGGTGTTTCTTCTAAATCAAACTGTAAACCAAATAAATCGTATAAATTTAGTTGACCCAAACTAAAATCTAATAAAAGAACTGGGTGATTAATCATCTTAACCATAACACACGAATACAACAGAAAAAAATAAGATTTACAACTACAACCGATTAGACATTTGACAAAATCCGATGAGAATAACAAATATAACATCAAAACTAAATACATGAATTTTGGATAGAAAAGTACCGTGACACGTCTTATAGCAATACGAATTCACACTCAGCAAAACAGTCACAATCGGGAATAAGTCACGTTCGGTAATTTAAAGATCAGACGACGTAATGTCAAACCACAATCTAACACGTAGTAAAAATGTCCTTAGTTAGTTTGGACAAAGACACATCGTATGGATCAACCAATTCGTGATGGTGTCCGAAGAATTTACGGTGTGTCATTTTTAATCTGTCCTCCTCATAACTTTGTTGGAGCAGTTTCTGCGTTAGGAGCAAACTCCTGTATATGAAGTCCGTATAGTGTGAACATGCACGAGCATAACGTATCAACTGAGATATGTAAACACCATACGAAGGGGCAGAGGGTATGTTACTGCTGAGAAATGGGAAATTGATAATTGGGAAGTTGAAATCGTCCCGTTTATCATAGATTTTCGTGTGAAGTCGTCCATCTGTGTCAATATTGAGGAAAAGATCAAGGTATGAAGCAGTCCTTCTAGTATCAGTAGTATCCTTAATTTCAAGTTCAGTGGGATATATGAGATGTAAGTATTGGCTGAAATATGGGTTATTCAATGATAGGACATCATCAATATATCGGAAAGTAAAATTAAAGAATTTCGCAAGGTGCTTTTTGTTTTGTCTTTTAGAAGGTTTCTGAATGAATTCTGCTTCATACGAGTACAAAAACAAATCGGCCAGTAGGGGTGCACAATTAGTACCCATTGGAATACCGACTGTCTGTTGAAATATAAACCCTCCAAACTCAACAAATATATTGTCGATCAAAAAGTCCAGCATTTTGATAATATTATCTTCAGTATATTTTCTGGTAGATTCAGTGTGGTTCTTCACAAAATATGAATTATTGTAACCAAAAACAAGAAATTTGTATCATATAATTGATATTCATGTCAACACCGAAGTGCATGACATCATAATAAATGTAGATTTTGCATGCTAGTTGTTTCTCGATCCGTAAATATACAGCCAATAAACAGCACATACAAGAACCATATTAATAGATGTCTATCTAATGAACGATACCGCTCATGTAAATACTTATTTGGTACTTGCATATAATCAGTATTTCTGCCTCAAAAACATGTGTCCAAACATGCAACTTTTATATTAATTTCAGATAAATTATTTTTATTCTATCTTTTCATATCTACATCTTGTCCTTGATATTGACACAGATGGATGACGTCAAGCAAGAATATATGACAAACGCGATGGTTTTCCAATTGTTTACTTCCCATTTCTCAGCAGTAACAGACCTTCTATTCCATCGTTTGGTCTTTACATATCTCAATTGATACGTTTCGCTCGTGCATATTCACACTATACGGACTTTATTCGAATGGGATGCTCCTAACAAAATAACTCTATCCATCTAGGCCCGTATCTCATCTTACAAGCGACAAGTAGTTTTTGCCGCCTTCGATCTTTAGACACCTAAATAGTTGGCATATTTGTTATTTTACCGATTATGTCCTATTCCCGATTGTGACTTTTTGACTGAGTATGGCGGGTGATGACCACTGTTATGATATTGCAATTATCAGGTTTATTTATCTTGGCCTATTCTGTTTTGTGTGGCCTTATTATGTTCATATAATTGGGTTACAGTTGTTTACAAAATAATGTTATAATTGTGCAGTTTAGAAATCACTGGAACAATGATAGATATCGATGGAATGATTAGAACTTTCTATTTGACTTGCATAACAGTTCCGGAATGATCATAATCCACGATTACTAGTTTAAACTTCTACAATATTCTAGAAGTTTCCCTTCTACAATTTTCTAGGAGTTTCCCTTCTATAATGTTCTAGAAGTTTCTGTGACAGCTATATATACAGACACCGAAATTAGACTTATCAGACATTAATATACTTATATTCTCGGAAGTTCTCTGGAGTTGTTGAATTGACACTTTTATCTACGAACAACATCATACTAGATTGTGAACTTATTGGTCATATATATTACATTGGATTCCGTACAGTTAAGAGAAGAATTCCGGATAAAGAAAAGTCAGAGGATCGGACATGTATTTTAACAGTTAAGTTGACATTTCAATTTGTA